GGGCATGGACAGAGGTGGGGCATGGACAGAGGTGGGGCATGGACAGAGGTGGGGCATGGACAGAGGTGGGCATGGACAGAGGTGGGGCATGGACAGAGGTGGGGCATGGACAGAGGTGGGGCATGGACAGAGGTGGGGCATGGACAGAGGTGGGGCATGGACAGAGGTGGGGCATGGACAGAGGTGGGGCATGGACAGAGGTGGGGCATGGACAGAGGTGGGGCATGGACAGAGGTGGGGGCATGGACAGAGGTGGGGGCATGGACAGAGGTGGGGCATGGACAGAGGTGGGGCATGGACAGAGGTGGGGCATGGACAGAGGTGGGCATGGACAGAGGTGGGGCATGGACAGAGGTGGGGCATGGACAGAGGTGGGGCATGGACAGAGGTGGGGCATGGACAGAGGTGGGGCATGGACAGAGGTGGGGCATGGACAGAGGTGGGGCATGGACAGAGGTGGGGCATGGACAGAGGTGGGGCATGGACAGAGGTGGGGCATGGACAGAGGTGGGGCATGGACAGAGGTGGGGCATGGACAGAGGTGGGGCATGGACAGAGGTGGGGCATGGACAGAGGTGGGGCATGGACAGAGGTGGGGCATGGACAGAGGTGGGGCATGGACAGAGGTGGGGCATGGACAGAGGTGGGCATGGACAGAGGTGGGGCATGGACAGAGGTGGGGCATGGACAGAGGTGGGGCATGGACAGAGGTGGGGCATGGACAGAGGTGGGGCATGGACAGAGGTGGGGCATGGACAGAGGTGGGGCATGGACAGAGGTGGGGCATGGACAGAGGTGGGCATGGACAGAGGTGGGGCATGGACAGAGGTGGGGCATGGACAGAGGTGGGGCATGGACAGAGGTGGGGCATGGACAGAGGTGGGGCATGGACAGAGGTGGGGCATGGACAGAGGTGGGGCATGGACAGAGGTGGGGCATGGACAGAGGTGGGGCATGGACAGAGGTGGGGCATGGACAGAGGTGGGGCATGGACAGAGGTGGGGCATGGACAGAGGTGGGGCATGGACAGAGGTGGGGCAATGGACAGAGGTGGGGCATGGACAGAGGTGGGGCATGGACAGAGGTGGGGCATGGACAGAGGTGGGGGCATGGACAGAGGTGGGGGCATGGACAGAGGTGGGGCATGGACAGAGGTGGGGCATGGAACAGAGGTGGGGCATGGACAGAGGTGGGCATGGACAGAGGTGGGGCATGGACAGAGGTGGGGCATGGACAGAGGTGGGGCATGGACAGAGGTGGGGCATGGACAGAGGTGGGGCATGGACAGAGGTGGGGCATGGACAGAGGTGGGGCCATGGACAGAGGTGGGGCATGGACAGAGGTGGGGCATGGACAGAGGTGGGGCATGGACAGAGGTGGGGCATGGACAGAGGTGGGGCATGGACAGAGGTGGGGCATGGACAGAGGTGGGGCATGGACAGAGGTGGGGCATGGACCAGAGGTGGGGCATGGACAGAGGTGGGGCATGGACAGAGGTGGGGCATGGACAGAGGTGGGGCATGGACAGAGGTGGGGCAATGGACATAGGTGGGGCATGGACAGAGGTGGGGGCATGGACAGAGGTGGGCATGGACAGAGTGGGGCATGGACAGAAGGTGGGGCATGGACAGAGGTGGGGCATGGACAGAGGTGGGGCATGGACAGAGGGTGGGGCATGGACAGAGGTGGGGCATGGACAGAGGTGGGGCATGGACAGAGGTGGGGCATGCGACAGAGGTGGGGCATGGACAGAGGTGGGGCATGGACAGAGGTGGGCCATGGACAGAGGTGGGGCATGGACAGAGGTGGGGCATGGACAGAGGTGGGGCATGGACAGAGGTGGGGCATGGACAGAGGTGGGGCATGGACAGAGGTGGGCTATGGACAGAGGGGGGGCATGGACAGAGGTGGGGCATGGACAGAGGTGGGGCATGGACAGAGGTGGGGCATGGACAGAGGTGGGGCATGGACAGAGGTGGGGCATGGACAGAGGTGGGCTTATGGACAGAGGTGGGGCATGGACAGAGGTGGGGCATGGACAGAGGTGGGGCATGGACAAGAGGTGGGGCTATGGAACAGAGGTGGGGCATGGACAGAGTGGGGGCATGGACAGAAGGTGGGGCATGGACAGAGGTGGGGCTATGGACAGAGGTGGGCATGGACAGAGGTGGACAGAGTGGGCATGGACCAGAGGATCTCGGGGCATGGACAGAGGTGGGGCATGGACAGAGGTGGGGCATGGACAGAGGTGGGGCATGGACAGAGGTGGGGCATGGACAGAGGTGGGGCATGGACAGAGGTGGGGCATGGACAGAGGGGGGCATGGACAGGAGGTGGGGCATGGACAGAGGTGGGGGCATGGACAGAGGATGGGGCATGGACAGAGGTGGGCAGGACAGAGGTGGGGCATGGACAGAGGTGGGGCATGGACAGAGGTGGGCATGGACAGAGGTGGGCATGGACAGAGGTGGGGCATGGACAGAGGTGGGGCCATGGACAGAGGTGGGGCATGGACAGAGGTGGGGCATGGACAGAGGTGGGCATGGACAGAGGTGGGGCATGGAAAGAGGTGGGGCATGGACAGAGGTGGGCATGGACAGAGGTGGGCATGGACAGAGGTGGGGCATGGACAGAGGTGGGGCATGGACAGAGGGTGGGGCAATGGACAGAGGGTGGGGCATGGACAGAGGTGGGTATGACAGAGGTGGCACTGGGACAGAGGTGGGGCATGGACAGAGGTGGGGCATGACAGAGGTGGGCATGGACAGAGGTGGGGCATGGACAGAGGTGGGGCATGGACAGAGGTGGGGCATGGACAGAGGTGGGTGGGGCATGGGCAGAGGTGGGGCATGGACAGAGTGGGGCCTGGACAGAGGTGGGGCATGGACAGAGGTGGGTCATGGACAGAGGTGGGGGGCATGGACAGAGGTGGGGCATGGACAGAGGTGGGGCATGGACAGAGGGTGGGGCATGGACAGAGGTGGGCATGGACAGAGGTGGGGCCTATGGACAGAGGTGGGGCATGGACAGAGTGGGGCATGGACAGAGGTGGGGCATGGACAGAGGTGGGGCCATGGACGAGGTGGGGCATGGACAGAGGTGGTGGGCATGGACAGAGGGTGGGGCATGGACAGAGGTGGGGCCTGGACAGAGGTGGGCATGGACAGGGGAGGTGGGGCATGGACAGAGGTGGTGCATGGGACCAGAGGTGGGGCAGGACAGAGGTGGGGGAGCATGGACAGAGGTGGGGCCATGGACAGAGGTGTGGCATGGACAGAGGTGGGGCAAGGACAGAGGTGGGGCATGGACAGAGGGTGGGGCATGGACAGAGGTTATGCGGTGGGGCATGGACAGAGGGTGGGGCATGGACAGAGGTGAGGGCATGGACAGAGGTGGGGCATGGACAGAGGTGGGGGCATGGACAGAGGTGGGGCATGGACAGAGGTGGGGCATGGACAGAGGTGGGGCATGGACAGAGGTGGGGCATGGACAGAGGTGGGGCATGGACAGAGGTGGGGCATGGACAGAGGTGGGGCATGGACAGAGGTGGGGCATGGACAGAGGTGGGGCATGGACAGAGGTGGGGCATGGACAGAGGTGGGGCATGGACAGAGGTGGGGCATGGACAGAGGTGGGGCATGGACAGAGGTGGGGCATGGACAGAGGTGGGGCATGGACAGAGGTGGGGCATGGACAGAGGTGGGGCATGGACAGAGGTGGGGCATGGACAGAGGTGGGGCATGGACAGAGGTGGGGCATGGACAGAGGTGGGGCATGGACAGAGGTGGGGCATGGACAGAGGTGGGGCATGGACAGAGGTGGGGCATGGACAGAGGTGGGGCAATGGACAGAGGTGGGGCATGGACAGAGGTGGGGGAAGGCCATGGACAGAGGTGGGGCATGGACAGAGGTGGGGCATGGACAGAGGTGGGGCATGGACAGAGGTGGGGCATGGACAGAGGTGGGGCATGGACAGAGGTGGGGCATGGACAGAGGTGGGGCATGGACAGAGGTGGGGCATGGACAGAGGTGGGGCATGGACAGAGGTGGGGCATGGACAGAGGTGGGGCATGGACAGAGGTGGGGATGGACAGAGGTGGGGCATGGACAGAGGTGGGGCATGGACAGAGGTGGGGCATGGACAGAGGTGGGGCATGGACAGAGGTGGGGCATGGACAGAGGTGGGGCATGGACAGAGGTGGGCATGGACAGAGGTGGGGCATGGACAGAGGTGGGGCATGGACAGAGGTGGGGCATGGACAGAGGTGGGGCATGGACAGAGGTGGGGCATGGACAGAGGTGGGCATGGACAGAGGTGGGGCATGGACAGAGGTGGGGCATGGACAGAGGTGGGGCATGGACAGAGGTGGGGCATGGACAGAGGTGGGGCATGGACAGAGGTGGGGCATGGACAGAGGTGGGGCATGGACAGAGGTGGGGCATGGACAGAGGTGGGGGCTATGGACAGAGGTGGGGCATGGACAGAGGTGGGGCATGGACAGAGGTGGGGCATGGACAGAGGTGGGGCATGGACAGAGGTGGGGCATGGACAGAGGTGGGGCATGGACAGAGGTGGGGCATGGACAGAGGTGGGGCATGGACAGAGGTGGGGCATGGACAGAGGTGGGGCATGGACAGAGGTGGGGCATGGACAGAGGTGGGGCATGGACAGAGGTGGGGCATGGACAGAGGTGGGGCATGGACAGAGGTGGGGCATGGACAGAGGTGGGGAAAGAGCGCATGGGCAGATAGCGGTGGGGAATGGAAGGAAGGGGTGTGTGAGAAAACGTGCAGCCACTGGAGAAAGGCGTGTGAGAAAGTGTGATGTAGGAGGAGGAACTAGTCCCAGTGGTCAGGCCACCACTGGCACCGCAGCTCATGGCAACGCAGCGGCGTTCTCAATCCATGATTTGTTTTGCAAACGGGAGCAGCACCACGCAGGGCAAAGGCTGTGTGTGTGTGTGCGTGCGTGTGTGTGCGTGTGTGTGCGTGCACGGTACCTGTGGCCTCTGGGAGTGAAGGTGGCGCACGGCCCTTGCTGTGCCCAGCGCTACCCTGAGACGCTGCTCCCATGACAGGCGCTGTGGATTCATCCGTGCATGCATTTGTGCGGGCATCTGTGCATGGCCTGTGGTGCAGCAGACACAGGGTGATAAGAAGACGGACGGACGGGAAGTGAAAGAAAGAGTTATGATGGGCTGGTCAGCTTCAAATCATAACTCGCTGGGTGGCCGGAGGAAGGATGAAAGGGGAGGAGGAGTTGGATGCAGGCAGGAGGCACAGACTGGATGACAGAAGTGAATTTATTCAGTGATCTAAAAGGGAGCCCACCATCAGAGCACCTTCCAACGTCATGCAACACCCACGCCCCGTGCAACACCCACGCCCCATGCAACACCCACGCCCCGTGCAACACCCACGCCCCGTGCAACACCCACGCCCCATGCAACACCCACGCCCCGTGCAACACCCACGCCCCGTGCAACACCCACGCCCCGTGCAACACCCACGCCCCGTGCAACACCCACGCCCCGTGCAACACCCACGCCCCGTGCAACAACCACGCCCCATGCAACACCCACGCCCCGTGCAACACCCACGCCCCGTGCAACACCCACGCCCCGTGCAACAACCACGCCCCGTGCAACACCCACGCCCCGTGCAACAACCATGCCCCGTGCAACGCCCACGCCCCGTGCAACAACCACGCCCCGTGCAACACCCAGGCACCGCACTGCAGAGCGTCCCACCGTGCAAGTGGTCGTGCAGGGAGCCGTGCGGCAGGTAGTGGCGCACTAGAATGCGCTTGGAAGGTGTCACACAGCACCCCATCACCCTCACCTGCCACCGCAGAGGCATGGGGAGCGGGGATAGAGGAGAGAGGGGCGAGGGGAAGGGGGAGTCTACTTTGGAGGCACCTCAAAGAGAACAGAGCGGCAGGTAGTGGCGCACTAGAATGCGCTTGGAAGGTGCCATACAGCACCCCATCACCCTCATCTGCCACCGCAGGGGCATGGGGAGCGGGGAGAGGGGCGCGGAGAGAGGAGAGGAGCGGCAAGAGGAGAGGCAAGAGAGGTGCGAGCGTAGAAAGGAGAAAGCAGAAAAGACAAGGGAGAGGGGGTCAGAATATTCAGAACTCTGTAAGCGCAATTGGGGTGGGGGGAGCATGCAGCTCGAAGTGTGAAAGCAGCAGCAGGAGAAGCTCAGGCCAGAGCGATCAGTGTTCTTAGTTCTCAACTCAGCCGATTCTTTAGGCGCCTCAAAAACTGTGAAAGCAGCAGCAGAGAAGATCAGGCCAGAGTGATCAGTGCTGCTAGTTCTCATCTCAGCCCCCCCTTCATGGTGGTATATGCAGGCGCAGCCGCAGCAGCCACAGCAGAAAAGGCGGCGGCTGCAGACAAGGAAGCAAGACCACGGCACGGCACAAGTGGGTGCAGCAGGGACAAGTAGAAAGTGCGTTGCTTGCAGCCAGGGAACCATTGCAGGCAAGCGATGCCCAGGCAACCAGCCAGACGTATTTTGAGGCGCCTCAAAATGAACCATTGCAGGCAAGCGATGCCCTACCAACCAGCCAACCAGACCCACCAGGTTTCTGTGCTCCAGCCTTGCCAGTTTCTCCACCTCCCACTTGAACCCTGCATCTGTGTCCACAGCAGGAGGAGCAGCAGCGCCAGCAGCACTGTCACAACCACCGCCAGTGGCACCACCAGCACCGCCAGAAGCAACAGCAGTAGAAGAAGCAGCGGCAGCGGCAGCAGCAGCAGCAGCAGCAGCAGCAGCAGCAGCGGTTCTGTCGGTGCGGCGCAGCACCTTAACAGCCACCTGGCGGCGTGGCTGTAGAGGCAGCACGCCCCGATACACCCGCCCACACGCTCCCTCGCCCAGCAGATTGGCCGCGTCAAAAGAGCCGGTGGCCAGCTGGGCAGGGGGAGGATGAGCAAGCGGAGGGGCAAGGGTGATGAGAGGGAAGAGAGAGCAGAGGCAGCACGCCCCGATACACACGCCCACACACTCCCTCGCCCAGCAGATTGGCCGCGTCAAAAGAGCCGGTGGCCAGCTGGGCAGGGGGAGGGCCGTGGGCGAGGGAAGGGTGCCAGGGAGGATGGGCAGGAGGTAAGGGTGTAAACCAATACCACTGTATTCGTATTAGTATTCGATATTCGACAAATATCAAATACAAATCAAATACAAATGCCCCTTACTATTCGAAATTATTCGACGTTCAAGTATTCGAGTATTCGGTTTAGATAAGCGGTTATTCGAATACATATTCGATTCGTTCTTAAGTTACTGAACCACTCAAACCAGCCGCTATTATTCACGAAATCTTGAGTAAACAATACAAAGGACTCTACAGAACGGCCGTCAGAGCCATGCTAACTGAGCAAGGGGCCAATGAGTTAGAGTAAAAGGGTGTGAATGATACTTCAGTATGCATTTAAGCCCCACCGTGAATCATGAGATCCTTGTTTGAGCTACAATATGCTATTCGAAACCGTATTCGACACACCATGTATTCGAATCGTATTCGAATTCGTGGAGGGACAGGTAATTTAACAAATACAAATACAGCCAGGTATTCGACAATTATTCGTTTTAGATAACCGTATTCGAATCCGTAATCGTTTTTACACCCTTAGCAGGAGGGGAGCAATGGTGGTGTGAGGGAAGAGGGAGCATGGCGCGAATGGGACGCTTTTGAGAATTCTCAAATGCTGCACATAATAGGATGGCAGCAGGGATGGCATGGCATGGCATGGCATGGCAGCATACCTGCAGCTCGACCAGCTGGAATTGCATGTGGTGCGGCTGGCTTGAGTGATCCAGATCAAGATTCTTGGGCATGGACACTGACCTGCAGGGGCAGGGAGCGGAGGGGGGAAGAGTCTGGTCTTGAGGCGCCTCAAAATTGCATGTGGTGCGGCTGGCTTGTGGCTCCAGATCAAGATTCTTGGGCATGGATACAGACCTGGATGGTGAGGGAGCGAAGGAAGGGGGAGAAGGGAGCGGGTAGGTGAAAAGGGGGAGGGGGGATGGAGAGAGCAAGCAATTAAGATACAGAAACAGGGCTGGTGTAACAGAGCAAGTTCCTGACTCAGAATTTACCAACCTCAGTAGTTACCTGCCTCAGAAACAACGTGCCTCAGAAGTTACCTGACTCAAAAGATACCCTCCTCAGAAGTTACCTGCATCAGAAGTAACCTCGCTCAGAGCTACCTGCTGATGGAGGAGAGGATAGTGCCGGCGAGGGAGCGTGCGTTGGGGGCAGGGCGTTTGGAGGAGTGGGAGTGGGTGGAGTGCGTGGAGGAGGTGGAGGAGGACGAGGGGAAGGCCGGTGCTGCTGCTGACCCATCCACGGCGCACGGCATGGGCTTTGGGGGCTTCCTGCGAATAGTGCCAAGGGTGTCTGGGGAGGAGCACGGGGAAGGAGGTGGGGAAGGCGGAGGAGAAGGAGGGAGGTGGTGAGGAGGGATTGGGGAGGGGAAGGTGGTAGAAGCAGATGGGGTGAGGGAAGTGGGGTGCTAGAGGAAAGTGGCAGGAAAATTTTCGGGGCCAGTTCATTCGGGGCTGAGCAATGGTCCACACCACACCAGTATGGGTAAACCAGTATCGAGCTGGTTTTTGAGACGTCTCTAAACTCTTATTTTTTCACGTTTTGAGACGTCTCTAAACTCTTCTTTTTTCACGTTTTGAGACGTCTCTAAACCAGTATCGAGCTGGTTTTTTAGAATTCTCAAAAACCATTCGGGGCTGAGCGATGGCCCACACCACACCATTATGGGAAAACCAGTATCATTCGTGAACTCATAGTAGGCTTGCTGCGTTTTGAAACCAATTCGTTTCACCAGTGCGGGACCAGAAATGGTGCGAGGGGCAGCAATAGGGCAAGCTAAGCATGTAGCATTTCTGACATTGATACGGAAAGTCTCATCTCTCTCCACTCCATTCAACCACTTCACCAATCCACCAACAACACAGAACCAGGCACCCAAGCAAGCACAACCAGCTCACTGCTTTTCGGGAGCGCTCCAAACATCATTCTTGGCCCGCCGTGGCTTTTTGAGTCGACTCAAAACACAAGCACCACCAACTCACTGCTTTTCGGGAGAGCTCCAAACATCATTCTTGGCCCGCCGTGGCTTTTTGAGTCGACTCAAAACACAAGCAACACCAACTCACTGCTTTTCAGGAGCGCTCCAAAAACCATTCTCGGCCCGCCGCGGCCTTCCTCCCCCTTGCTTTCCTCCCCGTTGCTGCCATCTCCCCCCGTGCCCTCCTCACTCCGCCGGCGCAACCCCCCTTCTGCTGCCAGCATTGCTTTCTCGCCCTCCTGTTGCTGCACCCGCCGCCACCTCTCAACCGCCCGCCGCCTCAATGTGTCCTGCCGCAAAGAATTCTCCCCACTGCCCTCCCCACCGCTCTCCCCACTGCTCCCCCCACAACTCCCCTCCTCACCACTCTCCCTTCTAACCACCTTTCCACTCCACTCTCCACCGATCTCCCCCCCACGGCCAATACCATCGCACTGACCCACCTCACGACTGCAAGCACCATTGCTGGGCACACCATCACCTGCACCATCAACCACACCATCACCCACACCATCACCCACACCATCACCCACACCATCACCCACACCATCACCCGCATTACCGCGCACCATGCCAGCACGCATGGGGTCACAGATAATCTCATCTACCCCAGCGTCACGACCTCCTCCCGTCGTTTCCTCCCCCTCTCCCGTCCCTTCCCCTTCTGCATCCTCTTCAACCTCCTCCTCTGCTCCCATCTCACCCTGCTCCTCCTCCTCCTCCTCCTCCTCCTCATCAGACCAATCATCCTCGCCTTCTTCCCCACACTCCTCCTCTTCCCGCTCTTCGCTCTCCTCCCCATCCTCTCTCCTGAAGAAAATCACCTCGACCTCATTCCCATCCCCATCTGTCACCTCACTAGACCCATCCGACTGCTGCCAAGCCAGCACACCCGCATCAGCAACACCATCCCCATCCTTCCTCGCTCCAAATCCAACTCCCACCTCCTCCTTGCCACCCTGCCGGCCCTCCCACGTATCATTCACCACCGTGCTCTCCTGTCCCTGCTCTCCTCCTCTCTTCTCCCGGTCCTCTGTTGCTACAACTTGGAGTACACACACATCATCACCTGCACTAACACACACACTATCTTTCCCACCCCTTATTGCTCCTCCCACTCCCACGCCCTTCCCTCCCCCCAATTCTTCCCTCTCTTGTACCTCGCTCTCCTCGTCCTCCTCCTTCTCTTCTTTCTCCTTCTTCTTCTTGTCCTTCTCATTCTCCTCATTCTTCTCCTCCTCCTTCACCTCCTCCCTGTCCTCCTCATCATCACTCCTCACCAGCTCCCTTCCTCCCATCCCTTTCACCACATTCTTCCCCACACGCGCCCCAACACTCTTCCCCACCACACTCGCGCCCCCCCCACTCGCCCCTCCTACACTCTCCCTTGCACTCTTCTCCACTCTACCCACTACCACCTCCTTCCCCACTTCCAGCAAAACCACCAACTCCTCCTCTCCACCCCCACTCCCTCCACCACACTCCACATTCCGCTCCTCCTGTGTCACTCCTTCACGCTCACCTGCTTCTCTCAGCCTCCTCCTCCTCTCCTCCACCACAGCCAGCCACTGCTCCCTGGTTACTTTCGGCGCTGCTGCCTGTTGCCCTTGCCCCTCCTTTACAGCCCTTCCTATCTCGTCAGTTTCGACCCTCTCCTCCTCCCCTTCCTTCTCCTCTATCTCCTTCTCCTCCTTCTCTTCCTTCTCATCCATCTCCTCCTCCTCCTCTGTAATGTCCTCCTCTTCGTCCTCATACCCCTCACCATCTTCACTTGCTGTGACCACATCAAACTCTTCCGCTTCCAATTCCTCCTCATCTTCCTCCTCGTCTTCCTCCTGCTCATCCTCCTCATCCTCATCCTCATCCTCATACTCGTTATAACCATCATCACAAACCCCATAGTCCTCCTCATCCTGGGTCTCACTGCGAGGGAACGACCACCGATCACCGGAACTCATTTCCTTAAACTGCACCCTCCGCCTCCTCCTCCCCACATGCTCTCCATCGCCATCACCATTTCCCCCCCCCGTCCCCGTTCCTCCATTGCCCTCTGCCCCTCTTCTTTCCATGCTCCTCCTGCGAGACCCCTTCGCACTCTCCTTTTCACTCTCTTTCCCACTCTCAAGCCGATTCTCGTTCTCGCTCTCGTTCCCACTCTCGTCTCTGTCCCTCTCCTTGTCCCCACGACCATCCCTCCGCACCCTTCTCCCCTCCCCGCTACCACCCAAACTCTCCTCCCCTCCACCTCCCTCCTCCCTTACTCCTCCCTTCTTACTCTCCCCCGTGCCTGAACTGTCATCGCCACCCTCCCCTTCCTCCGCATCCTCCCCAACCGCCTTTAACCGTCCCACCAGTCTCCCCCTCCGCCCACTCCCACTCCCAACCACCCTCCCCCCCACACTCCCATCCTCTCTCTCCAAACTGCAACTCCTCCCCTCCCCCAAATCCCCCTCACCTCTCCGCCCACCACCCCCTATCCCCCCACCGCCTCTCCCTCTCCGGTCAAGGCTCCACCCTCGCTCCAGACTCCCAACCCGCCCTCCTTTCGCCCCAATGCCTCGCTCATCATCACCCCCTTCCTCAGGCACGAATGGCTTGCCTAGCAGTACAGCCAGAGCCAGCTTTTTGTCCACCTTGGGCCCTCCGTCCATTCGAGAAGGGTCCCATTCCCGCGCCTTGGCCCACCCGATCACCATGTCCTTCTCTTTCTCCCCCACCCGCTTCTTCTCACCCGCTCCGTGTCGTCTTTCCCGCCCGCTTCCCACTCCTGCTGCTCCTGCTGCTCCCTCTGCTCTTAGACCGCGACAAGAGTCCCTCCTTTCACTGGTCCCACCCCTACTGCTGTTCCCCTCCCCGTCCCCGTTTCTGTTTCTGCTTCTGCGTCTGCTCCTTCTATCCCCTGCAATCGGAGCACCTTTTGCCACATCACCACCAGCACCATCATCGCTGCTATAACTGCAGCTATCACTTTCATCGAATCCATCTGAATCATCACAACTGCTGCCCCTATCTTTCCCATAACCTCTCTCCCTTGCCATACCACCCTTGCTCCTCCCATCCCCCTCATCCTCCCCATCCTCCTCACCACAGACTTTCCTTCCACGCCCCACCTTCACCCCACTCTTCTGACCCTTCTCCACCATGCCGCCACCCACCACGCGTACCACGCCTCCCTCTCCTATCTCAACACACAGCAGCTGCCCTCCTCTACCTCCGAACGGGCTCTGTCTCCCTGAACCAAACGAAGCCCCTGGGGAAACACCTGGGGACACACCTGACGACTCCCGTGGTGATACACCCTCCAATGCACAACGGAAGGAAAGGGAATCCAGCCCCTGCTGGTGTCTCGCCTCCCCCTCTACCCCCCTCCCTTCCCTCCCTCCCCTCCCTGCATTCCTCCTAACACTTCCCCCCCTACCACTATCGCTACCTTGACCGCTCTCCCACTCACTCCTCCCTCGCTCCCTTCCCAGCCTCGACTGCCTTTCTTCTCCCTGCCCAGAATCCCCCGATTTGACCACGTATCTACCATCACTCAGGCTTGGAGGACCAGGCACAGGAGAATCATTCAGGGAGGCTTTAGGGGCAGACACAGACCGGCCTATGGACCGCTTGTGCTGACTCGCCCAACCCTCTTTACCCCCTCCCTCCGCCGCCACGCCTCTCCTCCTGCTGCTTTCCTCCTCCTCCTCTCCCCTTCCGCTGCCAACCCCCCACTCTTCCTCCTCGTCGATTCTCTCTCCTTGTGACCATTCCGATGGTCGCTTGGGATAAGGCGAAAGCCCGTCGTAAGGGCCTTCTGCAAGAGAAGGGCTGAGGGGGCCCAGGGGTATAGGAACTGGGACGGAGTCTAGGGTTCCCTTAGGGACAGATGCCACTCTCCTATTAGCTAGTAGTTGCCGTCCTGCCTGTAGGATTTGGGTTAGAGAGGGTGACTGGCGAGGAGGCGCTGTGGCAGTGGCAGTGGCAGTGGCAGTGGCAGTGGCAGTGGCAGTGGCAGTAGCAGTAGCAGTAGCAGTGGCAGTAGCAGAGGCAGAGGCAGGGGCAGGGGCGGAAGCAGAGGCAGAGGCGGAAGTGGTGGAAGAGGTAGAGGAGAAAGAGGAGGAAGAGGAGGAGGAGGTGGTGATGGGAATGAGGGGCTCAGAGGGCCAGGGCGGGGCGGATGTAGCAGGCATGGCAGGGACAACGGGGAGTGCAACAAGGGAGGGGGCAGCGGCCGGTGCAGCAGCAGTATCACCACCACCACTACCAGATGTGGGTGTTTCTTCTGCTACTGCGGCAGCAGAACGAGGAGGAGGAGTAGGATGAGAACCAGCAGCAGCAGCAGCGGAGGCAGAGGAGGGACGAGCGGCAGGCAGCGGGAGACGGGAGGGCGGAGTGAGAGCAACAGCATGGAGACTCGGCTTCGGAGCTGACTTTGCCTTACGCACCACTCGACCTGCCCTCATCTGCTGCTCCCTGCTGCTACCTGCCACCACTCCTTCTTTTGCTGCCCCACCTGCCGCTGCTGCCGCTCTTCTACCCACCCCACCTGGTTTCGATGCCCCTCCTGCTTCTGCCACCCCTGTTGACTGCCCCACAGCCCTTGCTCTGTTTCTGAAAACGGGTTTTCTAGCAGAAGGGGAAACGGCAGTTGGGGAGGGAGCGGAAGGAGAGAAAGCAGATGGGGAACGCGCAGAAGGGGAAGGAGCAGAAGGGGAAGGAGCAGAAGGAGAAGGAGCAGAGGACGAGGGGGAGGAAGGCGACAAGGGAATGGGCATGGCCATGGGCATGGGTAGGGAACCAGTTTCCAACAAGGATTTGGAAACAGCCGCTTCTAGCAGCGCTCGGGACGCAGAGACAGCTCTCCCTGTCAACGGGCCGCCATTCGATGCCTCGAGCACCGCTCTGGCGAGCCGGCTAGACATGGCCGCCGCTGCTGCTGTCACTACTGCTGTCGGTGCTCCCGTCGTGGGGGAGAGAAGAGCACCGCTTGGATCGACCCCAGGTGCAAAAGCGCCTGCTGCTACTCCTCCTGTCACCGCTGCTGCTGCTGCCGCCGCTGCTCCTGCAGATGATGGCAGTAACGATTTCCCTCCAGCTATTCTCCCTGCACCTCCACCCAGCCTTAACGCTCCTGGCACTCCTCCTGCTGCTACCGCTGCAGCAGCAGGCGTGGAAGGGGAGGAGGCAGCAGAGCCAACGGATGCCACTGCCACCATGGAATCAGCAACCGACGCAGGAGAGAGCGGCTGAGGGTAGGGGACCGGGTAGGCGTCCATCCTGGCCTTGGGAGAAGATACTGACTTGCCTAGACCACGCCCCCTGTTGCTGCCGCCGTGGGAAAACCGAGGCGGGTAACCCTCCTCGTCCCTCGATGCATCTCTAGAGGCGAACGAGCTGTCGTTACAGCCGTCTCGTGACCAGAACAAATCCCTCCCCCCCTCGTCCATTCCTACTACTGGTGCATCTCTCTGGTGATAGTGGCCCTCTTCCCTTTGCCGGACTCTTCCCTGTGGGCGGGAGGAGCTGCTGCTGCCGTAATGACCGCTCCTTCCCCTTGACTCGCAGTCACTAGCGCTGCTTTCCCCTCCCCCCTCCACCACACCCTCCAGCCTCTCCTCCTGCACCACTGCAACCATTCCCTGCCTACCTGCCCGCCCACCACCTATCCCACCACCGATACCACCTGCACCACCACCACCACCACCACCACCACCACCACCACTGCTACCCTCACCAGCACCGCTAGCCAATCGCCCTCCAGCAGACTTTCCCTGCCCTTTCCCCCTCCCCTTCCCCACCCCGGCTCCCCTCCCCGACTCCGCTCCCACAGCCCCTCCCACGCCACCCCTCAGCCCGCGGCCACCACCCATGAGCGCCATAGCCAGCCCCTTGGGCTCTGTATGGCACGTGCTGCTTCGCAGAAACTCCTTGGCCAGCCAGCTCGTGTTCAGGCTAGCCGGATCGGAGGATTGGGCCCGGTACAGCCCTGCCATACCGCTCCCCTCCCCCACCATTGCCTTCACTGAACCTGCTGTTGCTGCTGTGGTGTCTCGCAGATGCAGAGAGCTCTGCTGCATCCCTGCTACTGGGTCATGAGTGTGTGCGCGAGGGATGGTTTCACGACCCACCGGCGCGTGAAGGGACGACGAGGCAGGCTGTAGGGGAGGCGCACCCACACAAGTTGCAGCTGCAGCTGCAGGCCTTGCTGCATTGCCATTTGCCTCACTGCTGCCCAACATGCCAGACTCTCGAGTCACAGCAGCATCCCCTGCAGCACCAAACCCCCGCCCAACAACTGTCCTCATTCCAGCTTCACCCGCCGCCGGTTCTCCCTTGAACCTAACCCGTGCCCCCGGACCTGTTGCCGAACCTGCTCCCGAACCTGTCCTCGCTGCTGCTGCAGCTGCTGCTGCGCCTCTCCTGGCCCTCAGAGCAGCTGTCTCCAGCCTGGAAAGCGAGCCTGACTTGGGGAAGGCGTCAGCAGCAGCAGCAGCACGCGACGCAAGCTGTGTCCTGGCACCAGCACCACCACCACATGGCCCGGAGGGGCTGTGCACGAGTGGAGACGGCCCCTTGGGATTTCTAGCGTCCCTGGGGCTGGATAGCCGTGCCATGGCGGGACCAGCATGACCCTTGGGGCTACCTTGGAATGCACGGCCGGCATGTGGACTGTGAGGGCTATGGGGGCTGTGGGGTTTGAGACTAGAGCTGCTGATGGCGCGCATCACGTGCTCTGGCGGTGGCTGGTACAGGTCCCCCTGCTCTAACTCCCTCAGAGAGATAGGTCCTAACCCTGACGCACACGCAGGTTGAACAGTGGACGTAGGAGGCTGGATTTCGCGCTTACCAGCTGCGGCAGCGTCCGCAGTAACACCACTGCTGTCATCAGCTGCAGCACCACCGTTTCCAGCAGCAGCAGCAAATTCTGTTTCGGGACTCTCATCCTGAAAGTGGAAATTATCCTCCTCATCCTCGTCCTCATCCTCCTCGCTATCACCACCACCACCACCACCACCACCACCACCACCACCACCACCACCACCACCACCACCACCACCACCACCACCACCACTACCAACCCCGCCGTAACCCCCTTCTGTACCGCCCTGTGGAATCGTGGGCAGCCCAACAACACTTTCTCCATGGCCTCCTGGGCGTTGAGTAGCTGTGTCACCCCCATCCTCCACTGCCGGGACTGACCCAGCAGCAGCAGCAGCCGCAGCAGCCGCAGCAGCAGAAGCAGAAGCAGCGGGCCCTATGTTCAGGCGATTACGCGGCACCACGCCACCATTGGCTCTCTGCTTCTCCAGCAGCAACAGCAGCAGCTGCTGCTTCTGCTGCTTCTGCTGCTTCAAGCTCACCTCACGCCGCTTCTCCAGCAGTCCCTTCTTCGCCTGCCCCAGCCCCTTCTGCACCGTCTGCTTCCGCTTCTGCTGCTGCTGGAGCTCAAGTAACCGCGTCTGCTCCTGCTCCCGCCACTCCTGCTCCTCGCGCTCCCTCTCCCGCCATTGCTCTCTGTCCTCCGCACTCCACGCCTCTTTCCTCGCCTCCACCACCCGCCGTCGCTGACGACTCGTCGCCGACGCCTGGTTACCCTTATCGCCTCGCCGCTGGTTACCAGCTCGCGTATTCGCCGGGCCAGGTTCGACGGGCCCCGGTCCTGTGCGGTGGATCGCGGTGCTCGACGCGTCCAGCTGCTCCTGGCTGTACCCTTGTCGCGGACCCATATCCTCGACATTAGCAGCAGCATTACTAGCAGCGGTAGCAGTAGCAGTCGGACCAGGACCACCAGCAATAGCAGCAACGGAAGTAGCAGCAGTCGCGGCATACACTTGCGAAAGCCTCGGCTGGTTACTTTCGCGAAGCTCGCTTCCTCTGGAAGTATCCTCTGGGAAGTGGCGCTGGCTCTGCTGCTGAACTCGAAGCTCTCCCCTCGGCATGTGGCTGATCTACGGCGGAACAGCGCACGAGACGATCCGTCAGACCACTCGTGAAGTCATTCATGGGTTTCCCGATACGCGCACGACGGAATACGGTCGCCTAAAAGAGCACAGGTTGCAAGGCTGAGCGATGCGGTAAGAAGGGTTTTCGGCAGCAGGAGGAGCAACAGCGGCAGACGCAGCGCCGTACGCGTTTTTTTAACGTTACCATGGACATTGCGAAAGTTGCAATGCGAGCAAACAAGGCGGGAGGATACGAGAATCTCGACGGGAAGGAACGTGCAGACAGAAGGAAACAGGACGGGCGCGGGCACAGACGTTAACGCTTGGTGGAGGGAACCTCCTTGCTGGGTTGGTTTGGAGTGCACTAGCTTAGCTGACGCCATATACTACTGCAACACAGCAAAACCTGCTGCACAGAACAACGGGACGTTGATAAGAGGTTGCTGCGCAGCTGAGGTGAGCTGCGTGTTCGTTTCTGTTGGTTTCCTCATGGTTTAGCACGGTATATGATTATTACCGCTATGTATCGCAGCTCATCGCGCAAAACCGTGATACACTATCCTGAGAGCTCTCGGCTTACGAATTATGTAAAGTGCTCGAATCATGATGGTGCGGTTTGGTGAAAGATTTTGCGCGACAGAGTGATTCTACTACACTCTAGAACGGTTGGGTAGGGAATCGAGCAGAAATGAACATCTTCACATGACACCACGAGCGTGTTACCCCAAATACTCGTTACCAGGCCAAACGCACTACCGCTCAACAATACACCACGCCAGACTCCATTTCAGATCCATGTCAAAGAAACGGACATCTGCATTCATATCGCATGTTCAATTGCTGATTGGTTGCTCCAGAGAGGGAAAAATGGGTGGAGGAGCAGAGCAGCAACGGATTCAACCTTTCACCCGTGTTCCCCGCTGAGCCATCCGTCCTGGCTTCCACTCCACTTGCTTGATTCTGGTTTCGACAATCCCAGTGCGTGGAGTCCAGGAGACCACGCCGCCAAGCACGCATTCCTAACAATCCGCTCATAAGGCGAACCGATACGAAGAAAGCTCCCTCCCATGAAGCTTTCGCCGCAATCCACAATCTCGTGCTAACGAAAACTTTTGCGACAGCAGTAGCGAGTATCGCGACTCGTGAGCCTCTCACCGCCACCACCCATCCATCCATGGCGGCCGCTTCCCTTCTCGACGAGATCGCGGACGAGCTACAGGCGCTAGAGGCCGTCTACGGCGACGTCGTTCGCGTGCACGCGGAGAATGCGGAAAGGTCGACCTCCGGACAGACCGAGGCAGCTGCGGCGGGGGCGGGGGGAGGGTCGGTGGTGAGGATCAGCGTGGAGTTGAAGCCGCAGACGGGGGAAGACGCGACGCAGCAGTTCGTGGAGGCCACTGCCGTGCTGCTCGTCTCACCGCAGGTCGCCATCTCCATCGTCCTCATCATCTTCCTCATCCTCATCTTCTTCCTCATCCTCATCTTCTTCCTCATCCTCATCTTCTTCCTCATCCTCATCATCTTCCTCATCCTCATCTTCTTCCTATTCCTCTGCACATACATCCTCATCTTGCCATGAGCATGGATCGTTATTTTTGGGAGGGACTTCCACTTGCCTTGCCTCCACCCGACACCCGTTCCCTTCCCTCGACCGTCTCTTATCGTTTCTCGCTCTGTCGATGGTCGAATCTCTGCCCTCCTTGGTCCAATACCGTTCCTCCCTCTCCCTCCTCCCACTGCAATGCAACCTACCCTGTTGGCTCTCTTCCGCTCAAACCCATTCCCCCCTGTATTCCGCTCAAACTCAAACCCTGTATCCGGGCTCCCCCCGCCAACCTCTCCACTCTTCCCTTAATCTCCCCGTTCGCCGTGGCACCCTTCACCGCCAGCTCCCCTTCTTTGCACCCTCCTTTTCCCCGCTCCCTGCTTTTCCCCGCGCCCTTCCCTTTCCCGCAGTACCCTCTGTCCCCTGCAGTGCTGCGCCTGAGTGCAGTGAAGGGCATGAGCGACGAACGCGTGGCGGAGCTGCTTGCGCGCGCCAGGGCGTGGCTGGCGGAGGCGCTGGGGCCGGGGGAGCCCATGCTGCTGGCCGCGTGCGAGGTACAACGACAGGGAGTGCTGGGGTGGAGAGGGCGGGGGAGTGCAGGAGAGGGCGGGAGAGGGCGGGAGAGAGGGAGAGGGCGGGAGAGGGAGGGGGGGAGTGGGGATAGGCGCAAGGGAGGAAGTGAGAGGAATTGAGTGGGGAAAAGCAGGTGTGGGGCTGGGTGGGAGGGAAGAGGAGGGAGGCTTGCAAATGAGGAGGAGTGTAAGACACGTGAGGGGATGGTATGGAAGGCCGTTGGGAGGAACAGAGGAATGATTTGCTGGGGAGGTTGATGGTATGTTGGGAAATGGGAACAGATTTGCTTGCATGGACGCACACTGAGTGCATACATGGACTCACATACATGCCTGGCTGGATGCCCCCTATCATTCTTGCTCTTTCCCTCTGCTCTGCGTTCGTTGTTCGTTGCTGTGGCAGCAAGTGAAGGAGCTTCTAACAGAGATGAACGAGCCTTCTGGGTGCTGCTGCTTCTGCCTCGATCCAATGACTTCCACTGCTGCTTCTGCTTCTGCTTCTGCATCTGCTGCAGCTGCTGCTGCCTCGAACCATCTCCACGATGCCAGCAGCAGCGCCGGCTTCCCCCCGCTGTTCAAGCTTGGAGTCTGCTTTCACTGCTTCCACTCGTGCGTGTCTTCACTCTGCTCTTATTGCAGAAGAATGCCCTCGAGTGTGTGTAATTTCGGGCTTATCTGTGCTTCTGCAATGCTGTGTGGTGTGCGGACGGATCCTATCGTGTGGTGTGGACCCCATTGTGTGGTGTGGATTATATTTTTCGTGCAAGTCCTCCGTGGTCTTTTTCACTCTGGTTTCATTTCCCCAGATCACCGTATTCGTGCCCCTTCTATCCTGCTCTCTCTCATGCTCCTCTGAAGTCATTTGCTTGTTTCTCATCTCACCTCCTCCTCCCGTCTGCCCCTTCTCCCACGTTCTCCAGTCAGTGCATAAGGCAGTGGTGGCAATGGGAGCTACAGCAGGCGAAGGTCAATGAAGCTGAAATGCGGAGATGCAACCCACATATTGCAGTTCCCAAGGTGAATACAGCGAGTCCCAAGGGGACGCCCAACCCAGCCCAACCCAACCCAACCCATGCTTTTGGTCCTTGTTTCTCGCACACACACTTCCGCGCTTTTCTTTCCTGCCATTTCTTCTCTGCTCGTCTTTCAAGCCTGATTCGTCGTGAAGGAGATCAGCAGTCTCGACTCGAAGTCCATACACTTTCTTTCACATGCTCATTCCCTGTCGCTGCAATCAACTCTCTCCTCCGCTCTTCCCCTTGTACCCCCATCCCAGCCGTCCTTCAGCTGCCCTGTGTGCCGATCCACCCTGGCAGCAGACGACATAGCTCGCCTGGATACCCTCCTCGCCTCCTCTCCTCCCTCTCCCTCAACATCATCTCTCCCAACCTCCTCCACCTCCCCGGAATCTGAGTCGAGGCCTTTGCTAGCTTCAGCAGCAGCAGCAGCAGCAGCAGAGGTCACAGAGGTGCTATGTGCAGAGGATCAGGTCGAGCGGAGGAAGCAGTTTGAGGCTGTTTGGCAGCGGCAGCAGCAGCGGGGAGGTATCATAGAGCCTCGCTCTGTGCTGGAGAGCAATACAACAGCCCATGGAGGTCAACATTCGCTTCATCAACAACAGACCCAACAACGTCTCCAGTCTTCACAACCCGATTACCATCCTGGCAATGCGTCCGCTCCTCCTCCTCCTTCCTCTTCTTCCACGTCTGTTCCGGGTGCAGCTGCTGCTGATGCCACTGCAGCTTCTGCAGTGGACTCTCTTCGAGCAGGCTCAGGCGGTGCTGCTTGTGCACCAGCGGAACCGTGCTCTGGTGGGTTAGTTCTCTTCCCAGCACTGCGCCTTGACCCCGCGCCTCCAGACAGCTTCTCTGACAACCTGCCTGGCGCTGTATCTGCACCGCATAGCGAGCCTGGGTCATTTCCCGGCTCAGGTGAAAACCCAGGTGGGGGGTTCGGTTCTGCAGGTCGTGGGCAGGGTAGGCATGGGGAGCGAGGGAGGAGAGGGAGAGGAGGGAGAGAAGGACGGGGAGGTTGGAGAGGAGGGAGTGGAGGGAGGTTGCATGGAGGGGGGATAGGGGAAGGGAGAGGGCTGTGGAAAGGAGGAGTTGAAAGCGGAGTAAAGGAAGGGGGAGAGCAGGAAGGGAGGGGACAGCAAGTGAGTGGTGGGCGACAGGGGCAAAGGGGGGGTCGCCTTGAAGTGAACAGTGGAAAGGTGGGGGAAGGTGGTGGGGGAAGAAGAGGATATGGGGGCAGGAGAGGCTCAGTTAGGGGTCAAGGGGGGGAAGGGGGGAGGCATGGAAGAGGCAGCAGGGGGGGGTTGATGAAAGATGGGGAGTTTGGGGGAGGAAGAGATGGTAGAGGGGGTGGAGGGGGTGGAGGGGGTGGAAGTGGGGGTAGGGACTTGGTGGATGGGCATGGGCCTGTGGTCGGAAATGGTGTTGTGGAAGCAACGAGTGCGGATGCGGCTATGGGTTCGAGGGGCATGCTGTAGCGCGATGCGATGGTATTGGAAGTATCACGGCTATCTGAGGATGGTGGAGTTGGGATGCTCAAGAGATGAGATGAGACAGCCTGTTGTATGATGGCGCGTTGTGAGGAGAAACGGGTTTCCTCGGAGGATTGTGAGGGCGAACAGGTGGGGGAGAGGGGAAGTAAGGGAGGGGTGTGGCATGAGTGAACGTGCATATTGAACATTGGCTTTTAGTTTGATGTAGAACTTCCTACAAGGGGCTGTATAATGTGGTGTGGCACTCTGATGGATGAGAGGAGGAGAGCCTTTTGATTGACCCTGATCCTTCCCAAATCCATGTATGGGAGAGTGAAAGTTGTAATGGATGAGGGGATAGCCTTTTTCTTGATGAGGCAACAGCCTCTGACCCTGATAGTTCCAACCAACCCAAATCCGTTAAACCTGGTTTAATTCCTTTCACATGCAATGTAAAAAGAGCTGTAAATGATGCTATGCTCTTTATCCAATAGTGCACTTTACCCACGATAATATCCATGTGTAAACGGCTATGTGTAAACGCGTCGCGCCGCATTTCCAATGGGATCAACCAGCAGCAAAAAGCTGCCGAGCTGTATGGTCTTCTGTACACGAAAGTCAATTGGCCCTACCATGTTGTAAATTGGAAAATATCGTTCCAGCAACACCAGGAACCGTTAACTACTATTCGTTCTTTGCTGACAGCACCTCAAAAGCACGACACAACTACCAATTGAAGCGAGGAAACAAGTGATGTGTTGGTTGGTGCAGAAACGTCACGCCACGGCTTATGGGTCGGGTTCAGCGCGTGACCTCGGGCAATGCACACACGCTGATTACAATATCAGCCCCGCTCCAAGGGACTGTCCTGCCAGCCACTCTCACGATATTATATTGAAAAATTGTACAGAAGTCAATAAAATGCCCAATGTGGTTGGAATTCATGGTGCAAAATAATGTTACAATACTACAATAGTGTACGTCCTTCCTGGTTTTATAAACTGACCTTGCAAGCCTGAAGGCAAATGGTGTTTCGTGTCACTGGCCGTCACGTGTGTGATATGAGGCCGTGCAGTTGAAAGAAGCTGCCTTATCAGGAATGTTCGTGACTGCGTGGCACATGTCAGCTTACACCCACCACGCAGTCACTGTCCTCAAAACCATTTTACAGTTAAAGCTCGCGTCTCATATTTTTTCGTTCCAACCAAGTGTTAAACGCTTGGGATCCGGTAACAGCCTGTTTTGTCGCATAACACCCCCAAGCAAGGGTTAGGATTGGGAAGGTTGGTTGGGTGTGGGTCGGCCCCGCAAACCAAATGTACAGTACAAACAACGTGGGGTGACTCAGTGTATGGTTTCGCCAAACCAGGCTGGGAGACACACCTGCGCGACGAAACCACAGGCTGCGACAACAGAGTGTCGCACTCTCCCGTGTGCAGACCAAGCATTTTACAGGGGTCGGAAATATGAGACACCCAACTCTACCATTCTCACAAGGAGCGTAGTTCCTGCACCCGTTCAAGTGTTTTACGCTTTACTATCGCGTGTCCTAGCGTATACTATCACAGAGAAGTCCTCATAGGTCATTCACCAAGAACCTCATTATGCACTTAGACAACCCACTTCTTTGAGTCCCGCTCCACATCACTTCGTTTACATTCTGCATCGTGATACCCCATTCCGGGGTTCCTCGCACTCCTCCCCTGCCTTTAGTAGGTGAGCTCGACGGATTTGCGGTTTTATTCCATGCGGAATTAGTGGCGGAATGGTGGTATATGGCGGAATTAGTGGCGGAATGGCGGTGGATGGCGGAATTTTTGGCGGAATGGCGGTAGATGGCGGAATTAGTGGCGGAATGGCGGTGGATGGCGGAATTATTGGCGGAATGGCGGTAGATGGCGGAATTAGTGGCGGAATGGCGGCAGATGGCGGAATTAGTGGCGGAATGGCGTTAGATGGCGGTTAGAGAGGCGAAATGATGGGCGGAATGAGACGCGGAATGGTGGAAGTTGGCGGGGAGGCGGAATGGTGGTAGATGGCGGAATAAGAGGCGAAATGGTGGTAAATGGCGGAATGAGAGGCGCAATGGTGGAAAATGGCGGAATGAGAGGCGAAATGATGGAAAATGGCGGAATGAGAGGGAATGGGGGAGGGATGTGAGGTCAGACGGGGGAATGGAGGTGCCATGATAGGGTGTGTGTGTTGTGGGAGGGGGAAGGGAGGTGAGTTCAGAGGGGGGGGGGGGGATGTGTTGAGATAAGGGAAACGGATGTGATGTGAGAGGGGGAAAAAATGTGCTTAGGGAGGGGGAAGAGAGGAGAGGTCAGACGGTGAAGGTAGGTGAGGGGAGTTGGAAAGGTGTGTGAGTTCGGAGGAGGAAGAGAGGTTCTTAGTTAGGGGGGATGGAGGTGCTAGCAGGGGGGAAATAAGTGATGTGAGATGGGGAAGAGAGGTGCTTAGGGAGTGGAAAGGGAGGTGAGGTCAGAGGTGGTTGGGAGGTGAGATGAGAGGGGGAAGGGAGGTGCTGTGATAAGGGGGAGGTAGGTGAGCAGGGAGGGGGAAGAATGCCTTTTGCTCCCCATGAATGCCCTTTTGCTCCCCAAGAATGCCTTTTGCTCCCCAAATTTACCCCTTTTGCTCCCCATGAATGCCCTTTTGCTCCCCAAGAATGCCTTTTGCTCCCCAAATTTTCCCCTTTTGCTCCCCATGAATGCCCCCAGTGCTTTCCATACTTTCCCCTTCTGCTCCGCATCAGTTCCCCCTCTCCTTCCCCTCTCCTCGCTGCTCCGTTCCTCTCCTCGCTGCTCCGTTCCTCTCCTCGCTGCTCCGTTCCTCTCCTCGCTGCTCCGTTCCTCTCCTCGCTGCTCCGTTCCTCTCCTCGCTGCTCCGTTCCTCTCCTCGCTGCTCCGTTCCTCTCCTCGCTGCTCCGTTCCTTTCCTCGCTGCTCCGTTCCTTTCCTCGCTGCTCCGTTCCTTTCCTCGCTGCCCCGTTCCTCTCCTCGCTGCTCCGTTCCTTTCCTCGCTGCTCCGTTCCTCTCCTCGCTGCTCCGTTCCTTTCCTCGCTGCTCCGTTCCTCTCCTCGCTGCTCCGTTCCTCTCCTCGCTGCTCCGTTCCTTTCCTCGCTGCTCCGTTCCTCTCCTCGCTGCTCCGTTCCTCTCTTCGCTGCTCCGTTCCTCTCCTCGCTGCTCCGTTCCTCTCCTCGCTGCTCCGTTCCTCGCTCACCTCGTAGCAAGCAGCAATCCCACCCGTTCCGCAGTCACTGTCGTCCCGCATTCTCACCCGTTGCTCTCGCACCCTCCTCACGCGAGAACGATGCCACCGCGCTTTCTCGCTCCCTCAATCAATCCCGTCCCTCTCTCACTTCCGTCCTTCTCTCACACCCGTCCCTCTCTCACACCCGTCCCTCTCTCACACCCATCCCTCTCTCACACCCGTCCCTCTCTCACACCCTTCTCCCTCCCTCCCTTTCCCCTTCTCCTTCCCTCCGTTTTCCCCCTTGTTCTGGCCCTCTGTGGGCGGCAGCAGCAGCCTTCAAGGAAGTGGTGGCATACCACACACCTCCGACACAGAAGCAGCAGTGGGCGCCAACAGGGGGGATTGCCATAGTCAATGCTGTAGTTGTCACCCTTCTCACTCACACACCCTGCTCACTCACACTCCCTGCTCACTCACCCACCCTGCAGTGCTGGTGAGTGCAGTGCTGGTGAGTGCTGTGCTGGTGAGTGCAGTGCTGGTGAGTGCAGTGCTGGTGAGTGCTGTGCTGGTGAGTGCAGTGCTGGTGAGTGCAGTGCTGGTGAGTGCTGTGCTGGTGAGTGCTGTGCTGGTGAGTGCAGTGCTGGTGAGTGCAGTGCTGGTGAGTGCAGTGCTGGTGAGTGCAGTGCTGGTGAGTGCTGTGCTGGTGAGTGCAGTGCTGGTGAGTGCAGTGCTGGTGAGTGCTGTGCTGGTGAGTGCAGTGCTGGTGAGTGCTGTGCTGGTGAGTGCTGTGCTGGTGAGTGCAGTGCTGGTGAGTGCAGTGCTGGTGAGTGCAGTGCTGGTGAGTGCAGTGCTGGTGAGTGCAGTGCTGGTGAGTGCTGTGCTGGTGAGTGCAGTGCTGGTGAGTGCAGTGCTGGTGAGTGCTGTGCTGGTGAGTGCAGTGCTGGTGAGTGCTGTGCTGGTGAGTGCAGTGCTGGTGAGTGCTGTGCTGGTGAGTGCTCTGCTGGTGAGTGCAGTGCTGGTGAGTGCAGTGCTGGTGAGTACTGTGCTGGTGAGTGCTGTGCTGGTGAGTGCAGTGCTGGTGAGTGCAGTGCTGGTGAGTGCAGTGCTGGTGAGTGCTGTGCTGGTGAGTGCTGTGCTGGTGAGTGCTGTGCTGGTGAGTGCAGTGCTGGTGAGTGCAGTGCTGGTGAGTGCAGTGCTGGTGAGTGCAGTGCTGGTGAGTGCTGTGCTGGTGAGTGCAGTGCTGGTGAGTGCAGTGCTGGTGAGTGCTGTGCTGGTGAGTGCAGTGCTGGTGAGTGCAGTGCTGGTGAGTGCTGTGCTGGTGAGTGCAGTGCTGGTGAGTGCAGTGCTGGTGAGTGCAGTGCTGGTGAGTGCTGTGCTGGTGAGTGCTGTGCTGGTGAGTGCAGTGCTGGTGAGTGCAGTGCTGGTGAGTGCAGTGCTGGTGAGTGCTGTGCTGGTGAGTGCAGTGCTGGTGAGTGCTGTGCTGGTGAGTGCAGTGCTGGTGAGTGCAGTGCTGGTGAGTGCAGTGCTGGTGAGTGCTGTGCTGGTGAGTGCTGTGCTGGTGAGTGCAGTGCTGGTGAGTGCTGTGCTGGTGAGTGCTGTGCTGGTGAGTGCAGTGCTGGTGAGTGCAGTGCTGGTGAGTGCAGTGCTGGTGAGTGCAGTGCTGGTGAGTGCTGTGCTGGTGAGTGCTGTGCTGGTGAGTGCAGTGCTGGTGAGTGCAGTGCTGGTGAGTGCAGTGCTGGTGAGTGCAGTGCTGGTGAGTGCAGTGCTGGTGAGTGCAGTGCTGGTGAGTGCAGTGCTGGTGAGTGCAGTGCTGGTGAGTGCTGTGCTGGTGAGTGCAGTGCTGGTGAGTGCAGTGCTGGTGAGTGCAGTGCTGGTGAGTGCAGTGCTGGTGAGTGCAGTGCTGGTGAGTGCAGTGCTGGTGAGTGCTGTGCTGGTGAGTGCTGTGCTGGTGAGTGCAGTGCTGGTGAGTGCAGTGCTGGTGAGTGCAGTGCTGGTGAGTGCTGTGCTGGTGAGTGCAGTGCTGGTGAGTGCAGTGCTGGTGAGTGCAGTGCTGGTGAGTGCTGTGCTGGTGAGTGCTGTGCTGGTGAGTGCAGTGCTGGTGAGTGCAGTGCTGGTGAGTGCAGTGCTGGTGAGTGCTGTGCTGGTGAGTGCAGTGCTGGTGAGTGCTGTGCTGGTGAGTGCAGTGCTGGTGAGTGCTGTGCTGGTGAGTGCTCTGCTGGTGAGTGCAGTGCTGCTGAGTGCAGTGCTGGTGAGTGCAGTGCTGGTGAGTGCTGTGCTGGTGAGTGCTGTGCTGGTGAGTGCAGTGCTGGTGAGTGCAGTGCTGGTGAGTGCAGTGCTGGTGAGTGCTGTGCTGGTGAGTGCAGTGCTGGTGAGTGCTGTGCTGGTGAGTGCAGTGCTGGTGAGTGCAGTGCTGGTGAGTGCAGTGCTGGTGAGTGCTGTGCTGGTGAGTGCTGTGCTGGTGAGTGCAGTGCTGGTGAGTGCTGTGCTGGTGAGTGCTGTGCTGGTGAGTGCAGTGCTGGTGAGTGCAGTGCTGGTGAGTGCAGTGCTGGTGAGTGCAGTGCTGGTGAGTGCTGTGCTGGTGAGTGCAGTGCTGGTGAGTGCAGTGCTGGTGAGTGCAGTGCTGGTGAGTGCAGTGCTGGTGAGTGCAGTGCTGGTGAGTGCAGTGCTGGTGAGTGCTGTGCTGGTGAGTGCTGTGCTGGTGAGTGCAGTGCTGGTGAGTGCAGTGCTGGTGAGTGCAGTGCTGGTGAGTGCTGTGCTGGTGAGTGCAGTGCTGGTGAGTGCAGTGCTGGTGAGTGCAGTGCTGGTGAGTGCAGTGCTGGTGAGTGCAGTGCTGGTGAGTGCAGTGCTGGTGAGTGCTGTGCTGGTGAGTGCTGTGCTGGTGAGTGCAGTGCTGGTGAGTGCAGTGCTGGTGAGTGCAGTGCTGGTGAGTGCTGTGCTGGTGAGTGCAGTGCTGGTGAGTGCTGTGCTGGTGAGTGCAGTGCTGGTGAGTGCAGTGCTGGTGAGTGCAGTGCTGGTGAGTGCTGTGCTGGTGAGTGCTGTGCTGGTGAGTGCAGTGCTGGTGAGTGCTGTGCTGGTGAGTGCTGTGCTGGTGAGTGCAGTGCTGGTGAGTGCAGTGCTGGTGAGTGCAGTGCTGGTGAGTGCAGTGCTGGTGAGTGCTGTGCTGGTGAGTGCTGTGCTGGTGAGTGCAGTGCTGGTGAGTGCAGTGCTGGTGAGTGCAGTGCTGGTGAGTGCAGTGCTGGTGAGTGCAGTGCTGGTGAGTGCAGTGCTGGTGAGTGCAGTGCTGGTGAGTGCAGTGCTGGTGAGTGCAGTGCTGGTGAGTGCTGGTGAGTGCAGTGCTGGTGAGTGCAGTGCTGGTGAGTGCAGTGCTGGTGAGTGCAGTGCTGGTGAGTGCAGTGCTGGTGAGTGCAGTGCTGGTGAGTGCTGTGCTGGTGAGTGCTGTGCTGGTGAGTGCAGTGCTGGTGAGTGCAGTGCTGGTGAGTGCAGTGCTGGTGAGTGCTGTGCTGGTGAGTGCAGTGCTGGTGAGTGCAGTGCTGGTGAGTGCAGTGCTGGTGAGTGCTGTGCTGGTGAGTGCTGTGCTGGTGAGTGCAGTGCTGGTGAGTGCTGTGCTGGTGAGTGCAGTGCTGGTGAGTGCTGTGCTGGTGAGTGCTGTCGTGTTCTTCTCCCCCGCCGTTCCTCCCTTCATCAGTTCCTCCCTCTTTTCCACCCTTCCTCTTTTCATCCCTTCTTCTGTTCCTCTTCAACTGTATGCATAAATCGAGGGACCTTGCGTTATCATTTCCCGTGTTGGCTGCTTGTCCTTCTCATTATCTTGTATACTTCCCTGCTGCACAGCCATGTCACATCTTATTTCCTGGTTTGTGTTTGTATACATGTCTGCTATGCATCTGGTTGTGGTGATGTGTTGACTGTTTGAGAGTACTACAATGATTGGCCATGCCGTATATTGATGTTGGATGCTTTGTTATAATACAAACACTTTGCTCAGAAGCAGCCATGCACATGACCACTACAAAGGAAGTACTTGGCAACTGACTAATGTCACCAAGAAGACAGCTAGAAATGTAATGTTTTTGGGCCACTCTTGGCTGCTACACTGCATGCAATAAACCCTGGGCCATGGTGCTGGGACCTGTACCCTGCGCGGCTGGAAATGGGGGTGAGTGAAAGGGGGAACAGACTGAGTAGCGGAAATTAGAGTGAACAGGAAGAAACAAAGCGAGCCGGGGGGAAGTGAATGAGCAGGGGAAACAGAGTGAGCCGGGGGGAAGAGAATGAGCAGGGGAAACAGAGTGAGCCGGGGGGAAGAGAATGAGCAGGCCAAACAGAGTGAGCCGGGGGAAAGAGAATGAGCAGGCCAAACAGAGTGAGCCGAGGGGAAGAGAATGAGCAGGGGAAACAGAGTCAGCCAGAGAGATCAAGGTGTGTGAGGGAGAGTGGTGAGGAGCTAACGTACCGTGTGGGGAAGGGAGTGGGCGAGGTGTAACAGAAGGGCGTCAGGGACAGCAGCAGTAGAGGGGTCGAGGTGAGGTGAGTGAGGAAGGCGAGGAGGTGAGGAGGGAAGAGGGAGGAGGGAGGAGCGATTGAGGCACCAGAGAGAACCAGATGAGTGAGGGGGAAGGAGGAAGAGGAGGAGGAGTGAGAGGAGGAAGGAGAGGAGGCGGAGGGAGAGGATGAGGAGGAGGGGAGAGGGAAGCCAATGGAAAGCAGGGGGCAGTGGGAGAGGTGGAGGGCGGTGAGGGAGGGGTGGGCGGGGAGGTGGGAGAGGGCAGTCCAGGCGAGGTTGGCGGAGAGCAGGCGGGGGAAGGCGAGGAGCAGCGAGGCAGAGGCGCTGGTGATGCTGCTGCCCCACACTGACAGATGGCGCAAGTGAACGAGCGACTGCAGGGGAAGGGGGAGAGGCGGGGGTGGAAAGAGGATGGTGGGAGTGGGGGAAATGGAGCAGCGGCGCAGAGGCGTTGGTGATGCTGCTGCCCCACACTGACAGATGGCGCAAGTGAACGAGCGACTGCAGGCGAAGGGGGAGAGGCGGGGGTGGAAAGAGGATGGTGGGAGTGGGGGAAAAGGGAGCAGCGGCGCAGAGGCGTTGGTGATGCTGCTGCCCCACACTGACAGATGGCGCAAGTGAACCAGCGACTGCAGGGGAAGAGTGGGTGGGGGTTTGGGGGGGAGAGGGGGAAGAGGAAGGCAAGGAGGTGAGAGGAGGAGGCGTTGGTGGTGCTGCTGCCCCACGCTGACAGATGGCGCAAGTGGACTAGCGATGGGCGGGGGAAGCGAGGGCGACGGGAGGGGGAAGCAAGGGCGACGGGAGGGGGAAGCAAGGGCGATGGGAGGGGGAAGCGATGGCGATGGGAGGGGGAAGCGAGGGCAAAGGGAGGGGGAAGCGAGGGCGACGGGAGGGGGAAGCGAGGGCGATGGGAGGGGGAAGCGAGGGCGATGGGAGGGGGAAGCGAGGGCGATGGGAGGGGGAAGCGAGGGCGATGGGAGGGGGAAGCGAGGGCGACGGGAGGGGGAAGCGATGGCGATGGGAGGGGGTAGCGAGGGCAAAGGGAGGGGAGAGGAGGCCGCGCGGAGAGGCGAGAGGAGGCCGCGCGGGGAGGCGAGAGGAGGCCGCGCGGAGAGGCGAGAGGAGGCCGCGCGGAGAGGCGAGAGGAGGCCGCGCGGAGTGGCGAGAGGAGGCGAGAGGAGGCCGCGCGGAGAGGCGAGAGGAGGCCGCGCGGGGAGGCGAGAGGAGACGGCGCGGGGAGGCGAGAGGAGGCCGCGCGGAGAGGTGAGAGGAGGCCGCGCGGAGAGGCGAGAGGAGGCCGCGCGGAGAGACGAGAGGAGGCCGCGCGGAGAGGCGAGAGGAGGCCGCGCGGAGAGGCGAGAGGAGGCTACGCGGAAAGGCGAGAGGATGCGGGAAGGGGATATCGGGCGGCAGGAAGGGGAGATCGGGCCGCGGGAAGGGGAGATCGGGCGGCGAGCACGGGAGATTGGGCGGCGAACAGGGGAGACGGGTGGCGGGAAGCGGCGATAGGGTGGCGGGAATGTGACGGCTATAACCTAATCACGGGCATACGCAAGAGGGTGCGCTACTGCTGCTCCCCACAGTTACATGTTTCACTTTCTTCACGCCTTTGGACAGAAGATTGCTTACTAATGCAGTGGTATTGTTATGACTACGTGTAAGGATGTATAGCCGGAGTGCGCGTGTTGGCACTTCGTTTTTCCCTGCCACTTCTCTCCCTTGCACAATCGGTGTTTCCGTCGTCAGGGTTGGTCGCACAAAGTACAGTACACTCACGCCAAACCTGTCCTACAAGGTGCGGACGTGATCCAAACCTGCCCCTGAGGTGTGGTTTTGGCCTCAGTTCTTCACAACTTCGCCCATATATTTCCTCCGCTCGTGAAAAAATTCGTCACTCGTGAACCAATCATGTTCGTAGTTTCCCAACCAAGTGTTAAACGTTTGTAAATATGAGACGCGAGCTTTAAGTTTCCCTCGCAACCTACAAAATTCCCCCTTAAAAAGTTATGGCTGTACCACATTCAAAACCCGAACGGTTGAAAAACACGTTAGGGTTCACATCGTGTAGAGGAGGGGGGGGAGGGGGGGGGTGGGGGGGGTATAGGGATAAGGCGTGTGACATACAAGCGCTAGTCTAAATTTCACATCCAGCAAATAGATGGAGACTGGTGCCATCTGTCAGTTTCTTCATTGCGTTGTGCAGTCTAGGTGGTTTGGGCCGCACTGATTTTCCAGGTCTGGAACATGTTCGAAATCAGCCTTTTCAGAGCAATGTGACACAATGTCTAACCGGGGTAATCATTAACAAATCACAGAAGATAAGGATATATAATCAGAAGCCTCTGTTGCTAGCAGCGTTCCGCAATGAACAGAGGTGGAATGGCGATCAAGCAAGCACCACTGAAGGAGCTTATGAAGGAAGTTGCACGGGGGGTCTCGTGCCAGGCCACTGCTTCTTCCTCCGTGGATGCGTACACGTTTTGGTAAGCGCCAGGGCCCAGGAACGTTTTGTGTCATGATAACCGAGTGTTTGTGAGTGCAGTATACATTTTCATATCAACGTCGTCCCAAACCATTGCAGTTTTGACGCTACCACTGACAAGCTTCCCTCTTCCCAGATGTGTACCTTGCTGCCAGGGGGAAAAAATACTAAAACCTCCGTAAAATGAAATCTACGCCTTATTTCCCGCCAGAATAAAAGTGTCACAGGGTACAGTAACTAAAGTTTCTCCACCAAGACTGCCAACCGCAGCTGGCTGTGATTCTTGTCGACTCTTTTGGTTCGGCTCGCGAGCCAGCTTCCTTTAGAAGCACTGGACTGAAATTCTCAGATTCCAAACGCTCCCCACCTCCGCCCTCCCCACCGTCAGACACCACTCTTCGAGTTTCTCCTGCGACTCCTCCAGTGCATCCATCTGGTCTGTCGGCTCGAGGTTGCAAGCGATTTCTCGGCTCAGCAGGAACGCACACAGAATTTGATAACACCACAACCACCCCATTCACCACGCCAGCTAGCTGCTTCCCTCCCGCTCTCGCCCCCCGCGGTGAAACTTGGCGCCACTTGCATGTCATTCTTCCAAAAGTCGTCTGCAGCATTCGCTCACCTTGCCAGAAGACAGTGTCAGTAGCAGCAGCTCCGACGAAGGTGGCTCTTTTCCAGCTGCAGCAGTCAATATTATTCACCAACCCCATCCAGCTCCTCCATCCCATCGGTCAACCCCATGGCGGCGCACCGCACCCACTCTATTTTCTTAATATTATGTATCTGAAGTCGTCACACTCGAAACGCGCCTGAGCCGCCTGGTCCCAGCTTGCCTTTGCTCCAGCAATCACAATCGGCCAAGTGCTGGGTTATTGTTTTCCTCTATTAAAACGTCCACGTGACAAAATTCGCGCGAAGAACCGCGCAGTCACGTCAGCGATACTCCTCGGAGCGTCGCTCGCCGTTGAAACGGAGCACAGACAACCTAACCCACGCTACCACCAAGAGTGAGGTCGAAGCGCGTTCAAGCGTAAAGACTCATGGGCCGTCGTCGGTCTCTTCGTCACCGCGCGCACATCCTGTCGCAGGGCCGCATGCGACTCGTGGAACCGGACGAATCGTCGCATGGCTCTTCGGAGCACGACAGGAACGACGGCGGCGCGCAAGTGCCGCTGCTGCCGCCTCCGTCAACTCCGTTCCCGTACAACGTCACCGGCGACAACCGCACCAGCTCGTTCAACGAAACGCGTGTTAGTTCCGGAACAACATCAGAGAACAGCAGCAACAGTCGCGACCACCATAGCGACGACGGCGAAAACCACGACAAAGGCACCGACCATCCGTATCCAAAACCCGATGGTGATGGTGACGGCCCGGCCACCAATTCCGATTCCAATTCCGGTTCCTCGTCGCCTCTGCGAGTCGTCTCCGAAGTCGCGCTGTCGGGAGTTATCGTCATTCTCGTCGTCGTCATCATCTTCGTCGCCTTCCGTCGCATTCGCTGGCAAATTGCGCGAATCTCCGGCCGTCGCCGCCGTCGCAGCAACCCCGCGAACGGCGTCGGGCCGAACGGCGAACCCGGCGCCGCCAACGCCGCTGGCACCCGATGCCCCACGTGCCGCGGACTGGACAACGATGCTATCGACACGGTGGGGCACGTGCTAGTTTATGGAAAGAACCCGCTTTGCTTAGGGGGAAGCGCGGAAGGATTGCGCGGCGAGGGGAAGGGGAAGGCGGAGGAGGCGGACGTGGATTGGTGCTCCTGCGGCTCCTCAGTGAATGGGAGGGCGGACGAGGAGGCGGAAGGGGGGAAGGGAGAGGAGTGCGGTGACGCGGAGGAGGGCGCGGAGGATGGCGCGGAAGAGGGCGCGGCAGAGGATGGCGCGGAGGATGGCGCGGAGGATGTCGCAATGGATGTCGCAGAGGATGTCGCAGAGGATGTCGCAGAGGATGTCGCAGGGGATGTCGCAGGGGATATCGCAGAGGATGTCGCAAAGTCTGTTGCAGAGGATGTCGCAGAGGACGTCGCAGAGGATGTCGCAGAGGATGTTGCTGAGGATGTCGCAGTGGATGTCGCAGAGGATGTCGCAAAGGTTGTCGCAGAGGATAACGCAGAGGTTGGCGCGGAGGAACGGTTAGACAATTCTGTGGCTGTGGTTGTGAGCGAGGCGGACGACGGGAAAGGAGAAGAGGAAGAGGTTAGGGAAGGAGGGGAAGAAGCACGTGCCCTGGGTGATGGGAAGGAGGGACGGCTTGGCGAGGCAAAAGAGCACAGAGAAGGAAAGGCGGAAGCAGAAGAGGTGGAAGAGAGCATAAGAGAGGAGACGGACGAGTGGAAGACAGAGATGCGGAACGAGCGGGAGTTGCGGGATGAGCGGGAGGAGCGGAAGGCGTGGAAGGAGCGGAAGGAGCGGAAGCATCGGAAGGAGCGGGAGGAACGGAAGGAGGGGGAGGAACGGAAAGAGGGGAGGGAGGTGCCGGAGGAAGACGTATGGATCGAGGATCCAGCGCACTCCATCTCAATATCCGTGACAGTGGACGCCACGTGGCTCACGGAATGCGCCGTGTGCCTGTGCGAGTACGAGGAGGGCGACGTGCTGAGGTCCCTCGACTCCTGCCACCACATGTTCCACCAGGTATTACCCCCCTGCTTTCCCTGTGGTCCCCGTAACCCCGTCCACCTATTCCCCCCCGTTTCCCCCGTGCCCCGTCCCCCTGCTCCTGTACCTCCCGTTCCCCCACTTTCTCGACCTTCCCTCCTCATCCTTCCTCGAGCTGCTTTTTTCCCTCCTTCCCGCTCCACCCTCAGCCGTTCACCCCGCCCTCTCTGCATCGCCCTCTTCCCCCAACCCCACCAACCATCCCCCGCTCCACCCCCCTCCAGACATGCATAGACGAGTGGCTGCACACCTGCGGGTCCTGCCCGCTCTGCCGCTTCTCCTTCACTGCCGACCGCCCGCCGCCGCTCCTCGCCTCCACGTCAGCAGGCGCCGGAAGGGAGTCGTTCAGCGGGCCCATCAGCAGCAGCTTCAGCGGGCCAATCACTGCCGGCACGTTCAGCGGGCCTTTGAGCCGCTCAATCAGCGACTCCCTGAGCGGCCCTCTAATTGTGTCTGGAGCGCCTGTGTCCGGACGTACAGCCCGGCATGCGAGTGCAGCAGGACTGGCCGGTGCTCTTTCTGCTGGCGAGCACTCGGAGGAATCGCAGAGCGCTGCTACCTCGTCGTCATATGGGTCGACAGCAACTTTATCTTCCTCCTATGCGTCTAATGGCTCCTGGGCCTCAACTGCTACGTCTTCCACCTCCGCCTCCGCCTCGTGCTCTTCGTCTACTACATGGTTCATGCCCTCTCTCGGCCATTCTCCTCGTGGGGCTGCTGCTGGTGCGCGAGCTGGGGTTCCCTTTGCATGGCTAGGCCCGCGTGGTGAGGCATCGGGATCGACATCAGCCTCGGGATCAGCAATAACAGCGTCAGCGTCAAGTGGGGGCGATGCAGGAGCAGTGGTTCTGGAAGCAGTGGCAGAGGATGGAGAGGAGGTGTCATCATTGGCTTATCAGTCGGGGCCGCTTCCGTACACCGGGGTTGTCCACTCACAGGGGTATGGCGGAAGGCGGAGATCAACCGATGGCGTGTTAGGATCAGCTGCTGCTGGAACGGCAGCAGAAGAAGGAGCAGGGGGGGCAAGCAGAAGAGCAAGCGGAGGAACGAGAGAGGGAGCGGAGGAGCACGCACACCACGGGCACCACCGATGGGAGCACATGCGTGAAAGCCTGAAAGAGGGCATGAAGTGGTTCATGATGAGCGACAGGGAGAGGGAGGGATGGGATGATGACGACACAGACTACTACTACTCATGGTGATGCGGTTACAAATATGGTTACCATTGCGGTTACCACACTGGCACTGAGTGAGTGTAAGCCTCCTGTGGGAGGTGGAAGAGTTGCTCCATGCTTGTCTGTTTTGTGGCGCCTCGTAATGAGAGGATCGCCTTGCCATGTTTCCATGTTTTCTGTCAGGCATGCTTCTGGTGTGCCTTTAGGATGCGAATAAATTATTCAATGCATTATGAAAGTGCTTTGAGCACAGAACAGAAACTGGGATGGGATGGGATCTGGTTTGACTGGACTGGTGGATCATGCCCTGTTACAGTACTGAAAAACACATCAGATGACAGTGAAACATGCAATGTTTCATTGGCAATGGTGGTACCGTATCACAGTATAGTTTGGAAGAATACGTAGGTGCATCAATGTCGGTGGGTCCGTCCATTCCGTGCATGCGCTCATTTCATTAGCGCCAATCAGGTAAATATCGGTACCATAAATGAATCAGGCTATGGTACATACGGTACCGTATTAGAGTCACACACAACCACAGTCACGCAACCACAACTCAGGGGAAAAGGCGAGAGCGAGAGGGTGCAGCAGGCAGGCAGTGCGTGGAGGAGACGAAGCAGCACCGGTCCACAGGCACCCGGCCCGTGCCTACACCGCCAGATGAAACACTAAGGAGTCGCGACGTGTTTTTTGAATTTATCAGAAACATAGTGCGAGGAGAAGCAGCAGCAGCAGCGGTCCGGACCACACGCTCCTGATCCTTCTGCACACGCGCTACCAGATGGATATATTATCGACGCTCCTCAGAAACAGTGTGTGGAGGAGAAGAAGCAGCAGCGGTCCACAGGAGCCTGGTCCTCCTGCACACACTCCGCCAGGTGAAACCCTATCTTGGCCAGCCCTGTCACGTACTTCTCCCTCAGCCTCGCCCCGCCACCAGCGTCGGGGAACGCGAGCAGGAGTTGGCAGATGGGAGGGGGGGCGCGCTTCACCACCCACTGCTGCACCGATGCTAGGTGCGCCCCGGTGAGGGACAACTGGGCGAGGGCGGCAGGAGAGCAGGAGGTGGGAGGGGAGGAGAGGGTGGCGAGGCAGCAGGTGGGAGGAGAGGGTAGGGAGGAAGGGAGAAGGGAGGGCGTTAGAGGGAGAGGAGGAGGGGGGAGGAGAGAAGAGAGAGAATGGTGTGATGTCGGAAGAGGAGGGAAGTGGGAGAGCCAAGTGGAAAGCTGATGCACGCGGAAAAGCGACGGAGCAGCAAGCCACGGAACGCAGCAGGCGACAGCGCTGCTGCTCACCCCTCCAATGAACCGAGTTCTCCCTTGCTGCACGTTTGCTGTGCATTCCGGTACACAAGCTGAGCTAAGCTGCACGTGCATGCACATGTGTCAAGTATGTGCGGCTATGCATGTGAGGCTACCTTGAGTATGACCATGGGAGATGTGGGCGAGGCAGGGAGGTGGTCCAGGTGCTGCACCGACAGGCCTGATATCGATTCCTCCATTGCACTTTCCCATGCCGTGTCATCAGCACCCTCACTCATCGCAAACACCTGGCTGCTCTTGAGAGCACGAATGTGCGAGAAGTTGCACGGAAGCATGCATGGATACATGCATGCACACGCACACATGCGAGCCGGAAGGCATGCACGCACAAATACGAATGCATGGCCAGAGAGAGGAAACAATAACACAGGAGAGGGGGGTGTGTGTGTGTGCAGGGATGAACGGGAGGCGAACAGGGTCGGAGGAGGGGGCACACAGAGGGTGTGCTGATTGGAAGATGAAAGGCAGGCGCACAATCCCACCTCAAGCCCGCCCAAAAACACTATCAATTTAGCCTACCTCCTCTTCGCCCCTTGCTCCTCGCCCCTAGCCCCTACCCCCAGCCAGCCTCCCGCCCCTAGCCTGTAGCCCCTAGCCCCTGGCCTCTCGGCTCTCGTCCCTCACCCCTCACCTGGCGTTGGTGAGTGGTTGCAGGGCGGTGGGGAAGGAGCGGCCATGGCCGCCCACCTTGACCATGGGCCCCAGGCTCATGCGCACACACACCGCCTCCGCTGCCGGCCCCTGCCATGCCTCCGCCACTCGAGTCATCTGCGGTGGCGGGAGGGCGACAGGGGGTGGAGGAGGGGGAGGGAAGGGATGGGGAGGGGGAGAGGGGGCGGGAAGAAGGGGGAGGGGAGAAGGGGAAGACAGGATGCAAGCAAACGTGTTTTGGAGATCCTGGACTAGATGTGACCTGAGGTAGAGTACAGTGACCTAGACCTGGGGAGATGCAAACGTGCCTAGACCACAACCATACCGCAACCGCACCGTACCGCACCGTTCCGAACCGCACCGCACCACCGCACTGCAGCGCACCTGTACAGCCATGTACAGCCATGATGGCACGGCGCATGGCGCCCAGCTTCCAGGTGTGGTTCGAGTCGACTCAAACCCACACCTTTTGACTCGCCTCAAAAGACACAAGAGAGAGCGAGAGGGAGCGAGAGAGAGACCGTACCTTGGCGAAGCTCCTGGTGCACTGCACTCCCTGACGCCCTCCTGTACAGGCATGATGATGGCATGTATCGCAAGTGCGTGAGAGAAACCGCACCTGAGCGAAGCTCCGCGTGCACTCCTTGACGTCCTCCTGCACGGCCATGATGGCGCGGCGCATGGCGCCCAGCTTCTTCTAGGCGTGCTTTGAGTGGAGTCAAAACACATGAGAGAGTGAGAGGGGGAGCGAGCAAGAGAGTGCACCTGAGCGAAGCTCCGCGTGCACTCCTTGACGTCCTCCTGCACGGCCATGATGGCGCGGCGCATGGCGCCCAGCTTCTCGCCCACCGTTGCGTCAAAGACGGCCGTCCAGTTGCTGGCCCACGGCTCGCGCTCGTTGCACAGGTCGATGCCTCGCCCGTACAGCCGCTGGTTGCGCAGCGGCCGCCCGATGTGTGACATGGGCGCAAAGTAATGCAGCCGGTGCGCGGTCTGGGGGGAGTGGGGGGGCGGGCGAAAGAGGGGGGAAGAGGGCGGGGAAGGAGGAGACCTGAAAGGTTTAAAGGTGTTATGGAGGGGCGATGTGTGGCACGGGCACGAAGTACTGCAGCCGGTGCACGGGAGGGGGAGGCGAGGAGGGTGGGGGAGGGAGGAGGAGGGGGCGGGGAGGGGAAGGGGACAGAGAGAGGGAGGGGAGGGTGAAAGGATGGGGAGGGGAGGGGAACGAATGGGTATGGGGATGGGGTAGGAGGGAGGCAGGAAGGAATGCCATAGGAAGGAGGAGGTTGGAATGGGCTAGGTGTAACGGAAGGGCGAAGAGTGGCGTGAGGGTGAGGGCACGCACAGCTGGCACTTCAAACCGTTGAGTGGCCTCCAATTCATCGAGCAGGTCTAATCTAGTTTAGAGGCGCGGGCACGCTCATACACGCCCAGGCACGCTCATGCGCGCTCATACACGCCCAGGCACGCTCATGCGCACTCATGCACGCCCAGGCACGCTCATGCGCACTCATGCACGCCCAGGCACGCTCATGCGCACTCATGCACGCCCAGGCACGCTCATGCGCACTCATGCACGCCCAGGCACGCTCATGCGCACTCATGCACGCCCAGGCACGCTCATGCGCACTCATGCACGCCCAGGCACGCTCATGCGCACTCATGCACGCCCAGGCACGCTCATGCGCACTCATGCACGCCCAGGCACGCTCATGCGCACTCATGCACGCCCAGGCACGCTCATGCGCACTCATGCACGCCCAGGCACGCTCATGCGCACTCATACACGCCCAGGCACGCTCATGCGCACTCATGCACGCCCAGGCACGCCCAGGCACGCCCAGGCACGCCCAGGCACGCCCAAGGCCTTCCTTATTTAACAACGCGCAGACTGACCTCGTAGCCTGTGTGTGAGGGTACGCAGGGCCGGCACTTGGCGCCATTGAGCGGCGCGGAGGAGGAGAGGGCGGCGACGGGCATCATGCTGTGCGGATACACGCGGCGGCTCATCACACAGAAGGGCAGGTCCGCCCGCCCCAGGGACACGTTCGCCACCTCCAGCTGCGCCTTGAAGCCGCTCTCCGAGTTGAGGTTCCTGGTGAGGTGAGATGGGGAAACATTGGTGGGGATGAGAGGTCCATTGGTACAAGCGACGGCAGGTCTGCCCGCCCGCCCGCCCCAGAGACACGTTCGCCACTTCCAGCTGCGCCTTGAAGCCGCTCCCTGAGTTGAGGTTTCTGAGGGGAGATAGGGGCGCCGTTGGTGGGGAAAGAGTAGCGCATGGATGGGGTGAGTCGATGGGCGACGTGGAAGGGTTGTGGGGGGTTTGTGGAAGGGTTGTGGGGGGGGTTGTGGTTGGGCGAAGAGAGAAACGGTTGAGGTGAAGCTGCTGGAGAGATCCTGGCAAGGCACGGATGGCAGAAAGTTGCACATTTGGTTCTCCCACTCCCTCTCACACTACCTCGCTCCATCCCCCCCTGTATCCTACCCTCTCTACCTCTCTCCCATCTTACCTCCTCATCCTCACCCCCAACCCCCTCTCCTGCCCCCCACCCTCTTTTCCCCCTCCCATTCCCCCTCCTCCTCCCCCCTCTCCGCGCACCTGTACCCGCGCCGGCCCAGGTCATGCAGCATGCTGAGGCGGTGCAGAGCAGGCGCCGAGGTCTCCCACGTGCCGGCGCCAAACCGGTCATTGAGCCCCATGCAGTCCGTGCCCCACGGGATCGTATACTTGTCCACCTCAAAGCTCCTCAGCACCGGCGGAGGCTTCGCCCAAAACGTGTCCACGCGCGACCGAACCACCCAGTCGAACCGCATTGCATGCCTTGTTTCATACGCTTGTATGAGCGGCACGCAGCCCTCGACGAGGCGCAGGTACTGCAGCATGCCCTGGTCCCCCTGCGGGGAGTACTGGTCGTGCAGCACTGTGCCTCCTCCGTACTCCGTGCCATTCACCCACGTGCTCGCGAACACTCGCACGCCTGCAAGCCACTTCTTCTTGGCCCATACAGCGCTCCAGAGCTTGAAGGAGTTTTCGTCGAGGGGCGAGTGGAGGAAGAGGGACGGCGAGGGGAGCGTGGGGAGCAGGCGCGTGAGGATGGACGGCCACGTGAGCTCGAAGTCGCGCGCGCCGCCCACCAGGCAGAGCGCCGTGCGCCACTTGCCGGGGGGCTTTGAGAGCACCTGCCGCGGATGGGGGTTGCGCGGTGCGGGTGGGAAGTGGGGGGAAGGAGGGTTTAGTGTGAGGCGAGGGGAAGTGGGGAGGGGGAGGAGAGGGGTGGTGGGGGTGAGAGAGGGAGAGAGAGAGAGAGTACGGAGGGAGCATGGATGAGGCAGCACAGGAGCAACGCAGCTCACCTGTTGCCGTGCTGCTTGGTCACCAGCCCACACTGGACTCGCCTCTTGCTCCCGCTCCTCCCCTTCCCGCTCCTCATTCCCACTCTGCTGCTTCGCCCCTCCCCTCTTCTTGCCTACCACCCCTCGGCCCTCCGATCCTTCGGTCTCCTTCTCCCTTTCTCCCCTCTCTCCTTCTCCTCCCCTCTTTTCCCCTCCTCTTCTCGCTCCCTCTCCTCCCGTCTCTACCTCGCTCTCGTTCTCGTCACGTCCCCCACCCTCGCCTGTAACACGACCTCCCACGAGCCCCTTGGTTTCCTCTCGTGAAGCCACCTCTTTCACCCTCGCGTCTGTCACGCCTCTCTTGTTGCTGTCACTGCTGCTGACGCTGCTGGTACCGTTGTCACGGCTGCCATTACCGTTACCGTCGCTGCTCCTGCGGACGCCTAGTAGAATTAGCAAGTCCACTTCCTGTCGTGGAATACGGGGGTCGGAGAGCCAAGCAGAGAGGAAAAAGGGATGGATAGAAAGATGAAGGAAAGAAGAACCTTCAACTGCGGAAAAACACGGGAACTGTTACTAGCGAGTATGACGACAGCTGGAGGCCAGAGAGGGACACGAAGCTGCCAGTAACGAGGACCATTGGCACGAGGGGCTGGAGTCTCTGCTGCAACTTTCCATTGTCGCGCAGCGCACCTGATTGTCGCGCAGCGCACCTGATTGTCGCAGCGCACCTGATTGTTGCGGTTCGCGAGGAAGGGCACGAGGAGAAGAGCTGTGGCGAGAAGCGCGAGTAAGAGAAGCACGTATAGGGGACACCAAGGCGATCGTCGACGGCACGCGGCTTGCGCCATACCTTCCCCGCGCCGGCCGCTCCAGCATCCCCCGACCACACCAGCCGCCGGCGCGCATACGAACGCTCAGAGCCACGTGGCAGCTGACACCGGGCCAAAGAAACAAGCAATGTTGGACGTATATCACGCTCGAGACCGATCTGTCATGTACACGGCAGACGTGGAATTCACTGATGTGTCACTGAAGGTAAGCTGTCCTATTCTGCCTGGTTAACATGACATTACGCTGACGCAGATTCTCGCGTTTCTAGACCAGAAGATGCTTTGAGATGGCTGCTGAAATGGCCGCTTCGTTGCATGAAAGTTGGAACTTTGATTGAACTCGAATGGTAGGCGGGGAGGAACATCTGGTGACGGTTGGTTCTGCCTGCCAAATCAAACCGACTGAGGCAGACTTCCTCATTTGGTGGTTGGTAGAGCTGGACCCAATTCGTTGGGGAGTGGGTAACAAAGTTCGTTCATCTCGTTTCCCCTCAACTTTAGGGGTCGGTTCCTACCAACCCATCATGCATGAGAGTGAACATTTACACCCTGTTTCTCGCCATAGTGGATTCCGGCATAGTGGAGTCAAGATGGGAAAAGCAAGGTTAAAGGTGGTTAGATAACGTTTAGGTACGGTATGGTTCAATTAGGCAATCGAATAAAACAAGGGCTGCAAGCCAGTTCCGCACAGTTCAGTGTAGCGAGAAACAGGGTGTATAGCAAAAGCAAGCGAACGGCAACACGGCCCATGCGAGCTAGCTAGTGCGATGCGATGCTGGCAGCGACGTTCGGGCTAGTCCCGAAGCGTAGGCTGACTCGGCCAAGTCCAGCAGTGCGAGGTTGGGCAAAAGTGATGCGCGAAGGCGGCGAAACACCGTTAGCAGTAACGGGCGAAGAAATGGCTGGTCTGGTACGCGTTGCTGAGGTGCTCGGTAAGAAAGGCCGGAAAAAAAACTCCTTACACTACACATGACGCTCGCCAAATTCCATACCACCAATTTCACACCACCCTAGACGTCAATTGGGCTGGTATAGTTAAATAGTCAGTTGAGGGTTTAACGGTGACATGAATAGACGTGCTGACCTCGAGATTTTGGGTCAAACTGTGACAGGACAGAGTGCACATTCAACAATTACAGCTCACTTGCTAGGTATCGGGACTTGTTTGTGATTTGTGTTTGTCACGCCAGGGGTGTCGCGTAAGCTTGGTGCCCTTCACTTTACACATCAAGCTGGGCGTTAGGCACACGCCAGTGTGAAATAGACATAACTTAAAGCCCCGACCCCGCTCGAGCGCTGGTGAAATTGGCGAGCGTCTTGTGTACCCCATTCCCCAAGAAGCCACTCCGCTATGCGAGTGCGTGTATATCACGGAATCCCCAGCTTCGCATATACATTTGGAGGACAGGGTTGTATTTTGTGCTGCCCTGGGTCACCCAACCCAACTATCTTCCGTGGAGGTGCAGCCTTTCCAGTGGACGAGGAATTCGATCCTCTGATATCCTTAGGGCGGTGAATCCGATGGCTCGGGATTTCTCAGGGTTGACGATGGGCTTCGTTGGAGGACACGTCATCGAGGGCGGTCGATATCGTGGCAGTTGGCTTGTGGTTGGTGTTGAAATAACCGAAAGGTTATTATAAGCATTCCCGAAGGCTCTCCACTGTCGCGTCTCTTCATAGCGAAGCAGGCGCCTGTACTAGTACCGGATTAGCTCATATAGAGCACGCGGAAGGTCGAGGGTCACCCGAAGGTCAACAGTCGAAGACAGTCAACGGTCGTGACCCTTGACTGCCCAGTAACCGCACAAGGCAGTTGCGAAGTGCAACATGGTAACTGTCTAGAATGGCAATATTCGTGGTTACTGTAGCAATGCAATTCAGTCAATAAGGGAATGTACCCCTCAGAGTACATGGCTAGCTAGGAATGCTATTTATATCTTTGTACTCCTATCTTATAATCATCTTGCTCTCTTTCAACTTATCAACAAAGTCATATCAGAGACTTCACAGATCTCTTCTTTACACTTGGCAACTTTATCATATCCACTACGATCCTTCAGTAATAACATCAGTTGGGATGAATGGTCGAAGGAGACTGACGGGGAACGACGGGCTGATGTACCAGTCGGCGTAACAGTAGATGGCGGTGACGGACGTAATCACGTGGCTGATTTGTGAGAAGAAACAAGGAATGAATGAACTATGAATGAATTGGGTACAAGTAATAACCCTAATTGGGTTGCACCCCTTATGGGCTACCCCACTATAGCCTACACAATATGCATGAGCTATAATGTTCTGACACACCCCCATAGGCAAAGTGGGGGAGAACAAGGGGTCACAAGACCAGTCAAGTAAAGCAAAGCAAAGCAAGCTCAGGGTGGATCACAAAGTCACCACACATTCCGAGCACAAGTTCAAGGCCACAAGGCCAGTTCACATGCAGGAGTACATATATATAAAAAGGCTAGACAAGCAAGAGCAGGTATATATATATGTAACAGTACAAGCACGGTCAAGAGGTGAGCAAGTAAGGCAAGGTAGGCACAAGGCCCAGCTGAGTACAGAAGCGCTGATGGTCACAAGGCGCAAGCGCCTTGGTGAAGATATCAGCAGTGTTGGCCTCAGAGGCCACGTACGCAAGACGCAGCTGACCACGCTGCTGCAGCTCACGAGCAAGAAAGTAGCGGAGAGCAATGTGCTTCGTTCTGTGCTCCAGTCGCTGCTCCCGACACAAGGCCAGCATGGCCTTGTTGTCTACGTACAGCACTGGAGGAGAACGAGGCGGCTCTCCGAGGTCAGTCAGCAGGTAGGTGAGCCAGCGAAGCTCCTGTGCAGCCATGGCTCCTGCGTAGATCTCAGCCTCACAACTGGAGCCGAGAACAGAAGACGAGCGAGTAGCCCGCCACGAAACAGAGCCGGAACCAAGGCTGAAGGTGTAACCCTGTGACGACCGCTGCGTAGCCTGGTCGTCAGCCCAAGAAGCGTCTGCGTGCCCAGTAAGGACCACTGGACTCTGCCCTCCAAGCACAAGCCCCATGCCCGACGTACTGCACAAGTAGCGCAACACCCTCTTCGCTGCAGCCATGTGCTCCGGTCTGTGTCTCCCAGGAGCAACATAGCGTGCGAGAATGCTAAGAGGGTATGCAAGGTCAGGTCGTGTGCAGGTCATCAGGTACATGAGGCAGCCAACAAGCTCTGGGTACGGGCCACTCGACTCTACGGACTCATCCGAAGGCAGAGCTGAGAGCGAGTGGCGAGTAGGCAGAGGAGTGGCCTGAGGCGAGGAGTACGTGAAGCCGAAGCGCTGAAGGACCTGCTGCACCATGTGTGACTGAGTCAGGGTAATGGTGCGGCGTGCTCTGTCCCGAGTGATCTGCAAGCCAAGGTAGCTGCGCAGTTCACCCAGGTCAGTGCACGTGTGTCTCTTCTGCAGCTCGGACTTCACGTGGGCGAGTCCAGCAGTGTCAGCTGTGGCAAAGACCAAGTCGTCGACGTACACGAGGATGTAGAACGGCGGCAAAGAAGTGTCGGTGCGCAGAAACAGCGACGGGTCGGCAGTAGAGGGAGCAAACCCAAGAGCCGCAAGTGTAGTCCTCAGTGTGTCGTGCCACTCACGCGGTGCCTGGCGGAGACCGTAGACTGGCCGCCGTAGGCTCCACTGGGTGCCAGGAGGAAAAGACCCAGTGAAACCAGGTGGGCGACGCAGCCAGATCTACTCGTGCAGGCTGCTCTGCAAGAAAGCAGTGCTGAAGTCAAGAGAGTGTAGCTCGTAGTCACGGTGAGCAGCTACGTGCAGCAGTACCCGAAGAGTGGTCATCTTCGGGGTGGGAGAGAAGGCCTGAAAGTAGTCAACTCCCTGCCGCTGACTGAAGCCTCGAGCCACGTAACGCGCCTTGAAGACAGGCGGAGAACCCGGCGGCCGCTTCACCCTGAAAATCCACATGCCACTGACGATGTTCGCCCCAGGAGGGGGAACAGCGTCAACGTAGGTGCCTGTGGACTTCCAGGAAGCCATCTCTGCGTCCATAGCTGCCTGCCACTGAGAGGAGTAGGGACCCTCTGTCGCCTCCGCGTAAGAGCGCGGAGTCGGGATGTCAAGTGCATCCGGGTCTCCCTCAGGGGTAAGCAGTACGGACACGAGATGAGGTGAAGCAGCGGCCAAGCACTGGAACTCCTCCTGCCTGTCCTCAAGGACGTCCGTGCCAAGGGCACACTCACCCCCGACGGACGGAGGACAGACAGACTCAGACTCAGCAACAAGACTAGCAGCGTAGTCTAGACGACAGCGAGCAGCAAAGTCGACGAGCTCAGCAACTAGGGCAGACGCAGCAGTGGACTCAAAGGAAGGGTCAGTGACAACAGTAGCAAGGAGACGCGTGACAGTAGGACTGGCAGCACGAAGAGAGTCCGACTCCGGGTCGGCAAGAGCAGGAAGAGAAGACTCAGGAGGAGAAGGCAAAGGGGCACGCAGAGGACCTCCAGTAGGACCAGTGTAGGGAGACGGAGCAGGCAGTGGGGAGGCCGGCTGTAACTGTAACTGCGACGGGACAGGCTGTGGACACTCTAAGGGAGGAGGAGGACCAGTAGAAGATGGGAGACCAAGAACCTGCTGAAGGAGCGGAACGAAGTACGGCCGAGGCCGCGCGGCGACTCCAGACACAGTAGGGACAGCACCAGCACCCCCTGTGGCAGCACCAGCACCAGTAGCAGCTCCAGCTCCAGTACCCCCAGCAGCACCAGCAGTACCCCCAGCAGGACCGCCTCCAGGACCGACAGCAATAGCCTCCGCGCCAACACCCGCAGCAGCTCCAGCTCCAGAAGTACCCGCAGGTCCAGCAGCTCCAGTACGCCCAGTACGAGCACCGCCGGGACCCGTGGCACCAGCTCCCTCAGCAGCAACAGAAACTCCAGTACCCGCAGCTCCTCCAGCTCCAGCAGCTCGCCTCCAGCGCCGGGCAAACCACTCACGCAGCTCCTGTGGAGAGAGTGGCTCCCGGCGAGAAGAAGCACCCGGAGAACCGCCAGGCACAGCACCAGCAGGCCCAGCTCCCTCAGGCTCCGCACCCCCAGGCT